GGACAGGCGCGGGGGCGCGGCCTCCATCCCCCGCCCCCAGCGGGCGCACTGCCACCCGGCGGACACCAGACGCAGCCTGGGGCCCGGTGTCCCGGCCCCCTGCAGCATCCTTGGCGACCCTGGGCCCGCTGACGCCAGGGTCGCGCCCTACCCGGGCTCCGGAGTGCGGCAGTGCTAACGGCAGGCCTGGCTGCGTGGCCAGGTCGCAGGCCCCGGGACTCGGGCCTCAGGCCGCTTGTCCCGCAGCTTCCTCCCTGGCAAAGCAGGGAACCCCCCAGCACCCTTAGGACCTAACAGTTTCGTTGGTGTCCTAAAGGGGACATGATGCTTACTTAGGGAGATGATAGAAGTCTGTGCCCCAAGAAAGTGTAGTCAACACCCCAGTCCCCCAAGAGAGTGTATTAACCAACAGTCTTTTTCTACAAATAGCTATGAATAGAATGTTTTTAGAAATTGTTTTAGGTTTATTTTTATTTTCTGTGTATTTGTGTATTGTCACCCGTATCGGACATAAGAGGGCGTCTGATTCCCTGGAACTGGAGTTACTGAAGGTTGTTAGCTGTCAGGTGGGTGCTGGGACTTACCCAGGTCCTCTGCAAGAGCAGCCAATGCTCTTAACTGCTGAGCCATCTTTCCAGCCCTCAAGTAGAATATTTTTAAATGAAGCAACTCTAACAGGAAATAAAAATCTGCTCTTCCATTGTGCTGCAAGTTAAATGGTGCAGCTGTTCTTTGGAAATTAGTTCCTCAAAGGTAAACCCAAGTGACCATTTGATCCGGCAGTTACACTCATAAACACAAGAGAAATGAAGACATACACCCACACAAAACTCCTACCCAAAGGTTGATAGTAGCATTATTCCTAATACGGACGAGAACAACCCTATGTCCATCAAAGTGATGAGTAGAGGAAGGAGTAATCCACACAATGGATAAATAAAGTACATGCTACAATATAAATGAACCTTGAAGACATGCCAAAGTCAAACCATACACAAATATGCAAATGTTGTGAGCCCACTGATACAGCATGTCTAGAATAGGCAATGCACACATGGAACATACATGGAACATGGAATGTCTAGTAATAGCTGTTTACAGAGGCGCATGTAGACAGAGGACTAAAGGTAACAGCTAACGAAGCCACAACTAGAAGGTACTAGTTTCTTCCTGAAAGGATAAGAATGTTTTAAAATTGCAGTATTCTTCAACTACATGTATGACTACATCAAAAATCACTGACACTGAATTGTATACTATAAGCAGTGAGTTACATCTCAGGATGTGAATTGTAGCTCAAAAAAAAAAAAAGGGTTACATCCATTGTATTCACAAGCCATATAATACTATCTAGCTCCAAACAGATGCTCAGTAAATCACTGGTGAATTTTTGAAAGGGAGTAAATTACCTATAGTGTTTTTTATGTCAAGTATTATAAAAGCATATAAAACAAAAAGAAAAATCAACATTAATAACCACTTTGTAATAATTCTTGGAAATATCTTGTCAAAGGGTTTTCATATACGTCAGTTCCCTTTATTTTTCTAAGGCCCACAGTCATTTGATTAAAATACTGAACTTCAGGACTATCAAGATGACAGTGGATAAAGCCCTTGCCAACAAACCTGAGTTCGATCCCTACCACAAATTATCCTCTGACCTTGACGTGTGTGTGTTTTCACTCACACACACACACACACACACAAAACACACACATCCACAAATTATCCTCTGACCTTGACGTGTGTGTGTTTTCACTCACACACACAAAACACACACACGATGTAAAAATAGATGCAGAACCTTGATCTTTTATCATTAAAATAATGGAAAGCTTTATTCTGAAACAAAGACAGTAATTTTCCAACAAAGTATTCTACTTTACAAGGTCAAATCTGATTCAACATGATGCTTAAACCACATTAATTGCAATCCATACTCAGTCCAAGCCACAAAACAGTAATTTTAGACGTCAAACTTGTCCTTTCACCATGAAGGCCTGATGATAACAGAGCTACCTTTTTTAATCTTAAAAGCTTGGGCTTTCTGAAAATCCAGCATGTGTAACAACAGATGAAATTGACCCAACCCAATTTATTCTATTTACTTTTTTAAAGAATGTTAAGGTTTCTCATTGGATTTACTAGAATTGCCACTGGTCTACCTTTTTCTCCCTCAGAAAGGTACTTTTCACATCCTTCTCTCAAAGTTGAGACACTTAGTCTCTCACTCTTGTGCAGGCAGTCTCCAAGTAGAGTCAATTCTACCTCAGCCTCCTAAATGTTGGGATTAGACTTGAAACACCATGCCCAACAAGGATCTTAATCTCCCTCTCCCTCTCCCTTTGTATGGAAGGTATAAAGACAGGAACTTGATGGTCTTGAGCTCCTGTGCTCAAATGATAAGCCTGTCTCAACAAACCATCTCAACATGGTATGCCACAAGGTCCCAGTACCAGTCTCCAGATTTGTTTTGTTTTTATTTAAGGACCAAACAAACTCTCTAAAGTCTTAACCAGAAGCCATATCAAGGTCGCTCATGCTGTAATCCTAGCAAATGAAGAGTCCTGAATGATATGACTAGTTAACTGTTACAATGTGTAAATATTCCATTTTTCAAGCTTAAATCCAGTGACTCCATCTGCTGCCGGTAACTTGAGTCTACTAAGACCATGATAAGGCACAAAAGAGGGAAGGGAAGGGCAGTATCAACAGTCCAAACCATCAGGTCCTTGCCATTATGCCAAACTGGCCTCCTGGCCAATGGGCTCTTGGCCACAGAAAACAAAGGAAACAGAACTGTGAAAGATTTCTGCTGGTCCACTAAGGTTAGCAACCTTCCCACCACACAGAACTATCCCCAATTACACAGTAGAATTCTGTTTAAAATATTTTTATTGAAATGACAATAAAAAAGTGACCATTTTAGTGAAGGTCTTGCTTTACAAATATAAAAATATAACCAAAACTTTCATTTCTTTTATACATTTCTATAAACAATACCAGGAAAGTTCTCAAAGCCCCAACTATAAACAGTGCTTGTATACCATGGTATAAACATAATAACTAGCTTTGGGGGGTTGTGGTGCAGGACTGAACCCACAGCCTTGAGCATTCTAGGAATGCTCTCTTGCCACAGAACTACATCCCTAGCCAAAGTTTAATTTTTTTTTAAATTATTTGTATGTATGAGTGTATTACCTGTATGTATGTAGTAAGTGCACCCATGTCCTTCAGTGCCCACAGAGGTCAGGAGAGCACCAGATTCCCCTGGAACTGGAGTTACAGATGGTTGTTAGCCACCATGTGGATACTGGGAATCAAACATGGGTCCTCTGCAAGAGCACTTTTTTTTTTTTTTCTTTTTGAGGGTTTCTGATAATGCTACATTCTGAACATACAAAGGGTACAAAATGAATTTCCAAAAAATTTCAAAGGATAGGGCCAGTCTATCATTGTCTGCAAAGCACCTTCACATACTGTTACTGTAGATCATTTTGTCTCTTAAGACACCGTATGTCCATAGTTTTGGCCTGTACTGAAACCAGGGAAAAGAGGATCCCCTAGAGGGTTCTTAGTCTCATTCATAAAAGAAATGAAGAATGGACCCAAACGGCAGATAGCGGACAGACTTAGAGGGACCTACGTGACTGTGGCTGGTCAGAAGTTCTGCGGAGTTCTGAGTTACAAGGCGGATTCCAGGCAGGAAAAATTTGCTGCCTCATGAATGCACCAGGTGTCCTGCCCATCTAATTTAAGGTGAACCTGCCTTCCTAGGGGAGGTTCTAGGGTGGTTGAAAAGGTGGGTCCTCCAACCGATAGACTAGGGATTTTATAGTCCTGACCAGTTAAACTTATGGGGCTTTTTGCTACTCTTAACATTTCCCTCTCTGAAGAGGTAAACCTAAAATCTTTTAGGGATAAGTGCTCCCAACTATTTTTGGCCTTTGGAACAGAGTATGTTGCTAAGAGGTCCAAGGACACTTTGACTTTTACCCCAGAAACTGGCTACTTTTCTTTAGGGTCTTTTTACCCTAACTGCCTAGCCAATTCCTACCTCTTATTCTTATCACACCATCCTCTGAAGGGGTTACCCAAATTGCCAATAGGGAATCAGGATGCAGAACGCTCTGGCAGCCAGTGTTCTTAATCGCTGAACCATCTCTCCAGCCCCAAAGTTTAAGTTTTTAAATACAGTGGTGTTTTCCTCAACAGAATAGCAAAATCAGTGCACTTCCCCAACTTATCTCTAGCCTTAATTCCTCACTAAAATAAAAAATACACCTAAACTGCCTTAATTTTGATGGAGCTAGATTCTATTAGTTTTCAAAATAGGCTTAATAAATACAAGCTACTAAGGTGAATTTAATGGACCAAGCTAAATTAGAGCACTGCTTCTCATCACGTATTTAAACAAAGGTAAACTGCTTCAGGTGAGCCAGTTTAACCCAAGTAAAAGATATAAAACAAAAGTTTTAAGTTTGAGGCACTCAAATGTAGAGAGGTTACTCCAAGCATCTTGGCTCAAGTGATTAAGCAGGTACTTTTAAAAATAAAGTCCTAGGGCTGGGCATGGTGGCGAACGCCTTTAATCCCAGCACTCGGGAGGCAGAGGCAGGGTGATCTCTGTGAGTTCGCGGCCAGCCTGGTCTCCATAGTGAATCCAGGCCAGCTAGGGCTACAGGGAAACCCTGTCTCAAAAAGACCAAAAATAAATAAATAAAGTCCTAAGTGCCTTAACTCCCTCAAACATTGAGGAATGCTCAAACACAAGGGGAAAATTAATGCTGAAAAGTATTAACTCCTCACTGGGACCCACGAGGTACCTAAAAACATTTCTGCCTTCATTTTGCAGCTGTCTCCTTTGAGTCACCTGCTTACCCCTGAAAGACAATGTTAAATCATTCCAGGAATGTCTCTCTAGAAGGTGGTGATACCTGACCTCACTCCCCTTTAAGGCTGAAGGCACAAATATAAGTCATTGTCCTAAACCTATAGCCAATCTGAATTCTAGAACATCAAGCCCTAAAGATAGGGCAGACCACCGCGCCCCCTCCGGACCCCAAACAATTACGTAAGATAGCAGAGGCTACACCTTGGGACAGATCATCTCGAAGAATTATCTGAGGTGAAATGAAGGCCATTAGCAAATTAACATTTTATGGACCGCCTTACAGAACCAGAGGAAGACCACATCTTGAGTAGAATGGTTTAGTTATAACTCTAGCCCCCAGTTCTAAATGCCTTCCTTATTTAAACCTAAAGCTTAAGTACCCTGAAAACAAACTCTGGGTTACTGGACCCTTTGATCTGTTCTTTTTCCCAATGCACATTAACAGTTATTAGAAACCCCAGAACATCAATGTCACATCATTTAAGAAAGGGAACTATACACTACTTATCGCTGGCTTATTTAATCTGGACCTCAACCTCTCACATCTGATTAAACATAGAATATACTGGGTAGTTTGGTTAACTTTTGTCCAAATATAATGCTATTTATGGACTCATTCAAAATAACTGAATGTTAGGTATAAAGTAGGGCAATGATTAAAAAGGAAAAATAACTATGTTACTAATACAAATTAATATACCACATTATGCCATTCAGATGTTACCTACTCTGCCCTGGAGAGAGAGCTCACTGGTTAAGAGCACTGGCTGCTCTTCCAGGGGACCTAGGTTGGGTTCCCAGCACTCACATGGCAGCTAACAATCACCTGTAACTCTGGTTCCAGGTGGGTCCAACCCTCTCTTCTGGCCTCTGGGGCCACTGCAGGCACGTGTTGCTATTTAGCCGGGCATGGTGGCACATGCCTGTAGTCCCAGCACTTGGGAGGCAGAGGCAGGCAGATCTCTGGGAGTTCAAGGCCAGCCTGGTCTACATAGTGAGTTCCAGGACAGCAGGGGCTACAGGGAGACCCTGCTTCAAAAAGACCAAAAATAATAAATAAATGAAATAAATAAATAATAATTGGGTAAAACTGCTGTTTTATCCCTCATTTAAACATTTCCTATTATCATTTAGTTTTGTATAGAATTTGCACTACTAGGGGCTGGTGAGATCACTCAGCTCTTGCAGAGGACCTGGGTACATGGCGGCTGACAATGGTCTCCAACTCCAGTTCCAGGGGATCTGACACCTTCTTCTGGCCTCTGGGTTTGTATGCAGGTTGGTGTGCTTACACTCATACACATAAAACTTTTTTAAAAATGAAAGCTTAAAGGAATATACACTACTAGCATTACTGAGAAAATTAGAAAATCAAGGGCTTTTTAATTTATCGAAATTTTGTGTATTTCACACATAAAGTCATCTTTATACCCCCTTTTCCCTTTGGCACCCTCCCATTACCCCCCCCCACCAATGGAGTTCATACATTGTCATTTGTATTAAGACTTATTATGTAAAGTTAAACATCCAGAGACATCCTTCAGTGCAAGTTCATCCACCAGGGTTTAGTCAGCCTATCTAGAGTCCCTCCCTTCAAAAAGATCAGCTCTTCCTTACCCAGCAGTAATCAGCTGCCAATAATTCTTTGACTAAAAATTGGAGCTTGCTGTTCATTTCCACAGTTCTGTGCTGGGTTTTTGTCTAAGTTTGCATGGGTCTTACGCATGCTGATACCACTGCAGTAGGTTTATATGAGAAGGGTCCCAGGGCCTGTAGGACTATTTCTGTATAGTCATGCCCTCTTCCCTGGCTCTTACATCTTTCAAGGGCTTTCATTTGTAAGAAACATGAAGCACTCAAAAATGTCTGTTAACCAAGGGCTTATTTTATACTCTCTAGTATTTATGAATCATTGGAACAACAATCTCAGACATCCTGAAAAGGTATGTTACAATGCAAAAAAATTCTTAAACAGCACCCTGTACTCTAACACTCTATAATAATTTTAAGAGCATATGAAATCTGAATCCCTCGAATTCTACTATATTCATAAGGAAACAAAGCATTGGGATCCAACTGTAAATAGCTAAAAAGATTTACAACTTTGTGTGATGGGAATTTTATATTCAAAACCAGCTCTTACCAAAATCCCAAGGTAAGAACACCAGCCAACCTAAATCAAAGGTCCCGAGATATGGATGACTCAAACACATATTCCTACATGACCAAGAATTTCTAGGTCAAAGCTTAAGTTACCAAGGACAAGAGTGAATATGAATCAGATGACTCCTTTCTGACAGCACTACATAAATCACAGGTCGGAAAAAGTTCACCTCTCTCCACCCTCCCAGAATTGCAAGCCCGTAACATCTGAAATGAGGTGCTGTGTTATTTCCTCACTTGTGTGCTCAATCATATATGAGCTTGGTCAATTTATTTCCATCTCTGCCTTCCCCAATCTGAAGGATTAGCTGGACTATGACCAGTAAAACTATGCTAAATTGAAATGTGCTCATGTAAACCAGAGGGGCAAGACTGTTGGCCCGTGAGGGAAGAGGGCTATTCAAAGAACTCTTGGCTTTTGAAGGCAATCAGTTGCCATCCTTGGTCATGGAGGTTGGTGCCTACCCACTATGAAGCATAGCCATGGTTAGTTATTGCTAACTAAACTTGAATACATCTAATTCCTCAGCTATTCTTGTCCTGATTGTCAAATCTAAAGAGAAAAGAATATATTGACATACATTTGCTGTTGCCCAATATTCAGGAGATAAGCCTTGTGGTGGGTATTAACCAAGCTTATTTTTGCCTATCAAAAACTTACAACATCTTGTAAGACTTTTTTTAATTAAGGCTACAGTCAACAAGTCTGCAATAAAGCACACACAAGATATTTTGACCGCTAAGTAATGAATGATACAACCAGTAAGTCCTTTCATCCTAAAACTTTATCCCCACCCCCACCCCCTAATTTCTTCCTAATTAGTGTTCCTAAAAGTATAACGTTGATGTGTTTATCTTAGGCCAACAAAACCTGTCCCCTACCTCTAGAATTGAGTTGATTCTGATCATTTCATGGTTTTGTATAGTTTTTTTGTGACAGGGTCTTGCTATGTGGCCCATCTGTCTTTGAACTCTTGATAATCCTGTATTAACCTCCCAAGAGTGCCAGGATTATAGGAGTGTACCACCACATCCAGCCTGTTCTAAAATACTTTTGAAAAGCGCTGTCACTTGCTAAAACCAAGATTTTTTACCATCATACAATACCCTCAGGTTCGGATAACTGCAGTCTACAAGTTCAAAACATAGTTATTTTTATTTTTTTTAAGTGTATGCGTGTATTGCCTGCATGTAGGTAAGTGCACCCGTGTCGTACAATGCCCACGGAACTGCCGGATCCCCTGGGACTGGAGTTATGAACAGTTGTTAGCTGCCATGTGGGTGATGGGATTTGAACCTGAATCTTCTGCAAGAACAACCAGTGTTCTTAACTGCTGAGCCATCTCTCCAACCCCAAAACAGTTATTTTTACCATGACTCAATATGATAATTTCACAGCAGTGCAAATAATCAATATTCCTATTAAATGAAGCAAAATACTGTAATGAGCTCTAGGTGGACCTCTCATACCAGTTCCCATGATTTTGCAGCCTAATTTTTAATGGTTTCCCAAATGTTTTAAGGTTTGTTGCTTGTGAATTAAGGCCTGGGTGGTTACAAAATATACTGGTCAGTTAATATACAGAGGATTCTCAGAACTGAACTCACTTGAGGGTCAAATTTGGTCCAGGAGTTGCACCTTGGGTTCAATCAGATAAATTTAGTTCCCCAGAGTAATGGAAGGTCCTCATTACAAACCTCTGTAACAGTTCTGGAGTATGCACCTAAAAACGATATTGGAGAAAGAGGCCACCATGCATTTGACTGACCTAAACTACCAGTGTGTCTTAACAATCACCAGTCTAAAGCAGGGAAAAAAGGATCCTCAACTATTAGGTTTTTCAGAGTTTAATGAGAAATTTAAAAAAAGATACAAATAGAAAGTTCACTTTCTTTAATGTTGTACAAAAAAAGGTGAGAAGAACCAAAAGTTAATAAACGTTATCATATTTGTTTACACCACTGTCTAGTTCTTCATATTAATTTTACTATTCAAACAGAAAGGAGGTGGCAATTTAGGGGTTGGGAACAAGAAAAAACCAAACGCTTCTACGAGTTTTCTTCTATGTTGTGTACAGCTGTGCTCACGGAGACGGCTTCTTTTACTGTGCGCAGGAATTCAGTTGTATATAAAATTGAACCTGAATTAAAAAAAAACAAAAAACAAAAAACTTTGTTCAACAGTATCAGTTACAGTTTCCACCTTAAACAAGGAAATTTATCTGGATGTTTCTACTGCTCTTGACATGTTTACATTTCCTATACCAAGACAGTTTTCCTTTATCAATCACACCTTATAAATCACAGAAGTATAGCTGAATACTTAAAAGGAAAAATAAGAGTGCAAATTTGATTATTATCAACTAAAACATTCCTTGAAGACATGAAGTTTTTACATGTGTGCTCTATTCATTTCCCACATTCTTGCAACTGTCAAGAATTTAAATAAAATAACATGACCTTTCTCCCCATTATTCTGATTTAGCAACAGGCCAAAATGGAGGAGCAAAAACTGAAGAATAATTATTGACAAAGTAGAAAGGAAAGTTCACTCACCAAGTTTCCATGGAGGCCAAAACCACTACTGGGGTAGATTTTAAACTAATGTTTATTAAGTACTTCCAGGTGCTTGGCACTGTTCTAAGTACTGTATATGTGTGCTCTGACTTGGTCCCATAATCGTATGAAGAAACTATCATCCTCATATATACATGAAGAAGTTGGGAAAACAGGTATAAGAATTTTTTCAAAGTCAATACTAGCAGACTAATTTATCCCTTTTTATACAGACAACTACCTTCATATTTAAACATTAACTATTTTAATAACTGCTTCTCCTTTGAACAGACTGCAAACTTCACTGTGGAGGATATCAGACCTGTAGATTCTGATCAAAACATCATGCCACAATTTAAGAGTCTTGGGATACTTTTAGCAGTATTTTATCTATCACACAATACCTAAGAATAAATATACTGTCTTTATTTTCCTTAAACCCTAATATTTGTGAACTATCCCTTAAATGGCTCTGAATATTATAAATTTCAGAGCTTTTGTACAGATAATTAGAAAATGCTCAACTTTCCATACCTGCTCAACAGCTGAGGAAGACTAGAAATGATGGGCCCATATCCTGGTGCATTATCATACAACTCAAACAACGGTGCAGCTACCAGCTTGTAATTTTTAGGGACTGCAAACAAAGCTAAAATAAAACAGTATTTAATCTTTCATGATCACTGCTCCCACTTATAATTATTCAACAGTTTCACAATTGACAAAAACTTTCGTGTGTGTGTGTTCACTCATGCAGGCCTATGTAGAAGCCAAAGGCTGACATCAGGATGTTATCCTCAATCCCTCTCCAGCTTATTTTTCAAGACAGTCTCAATGAACCTAGAGCTCAAGGTTTCAGTTAGACTAGCTGGCCAGAGAGCTGCAAGGCCCTTTAGTGCTAGGTTACAGAGCTGCATGCACCACCATGCCCTGCTTTTTACATGGGTGCTGGAGAGCCAAACTCAGGTCCTTATGCTTGCATAAAAGCATTGTACCTACTGAGCCATCTCCCCAGTCCCAAGAAAAATTTCTAAGGAAAATTCTCATTAATACACGTTGGTTGTATCTTCTGGACTAGAAATCAGTCACAGATTTGCAACTGATTCTCTACAGACACGTGCTATAATCAACTGAGAAGAGAACTGCCTTTGGTTTTTATTTTCAGTTCTCTTATAAAACTATTGCAAGAAATGGAGCCAGGCATTGTGACAATTCCTCAAGAGTCTGAAGCAGGAGGATTAAGATTTGGAGACTGGCCTTGCAAGCAGGAGGAACTGAATATCCTGGATCCTCACAGCCCATATGGTATACGTGTTAGTAATCCCAGAGCTGGTGGAATGGAGATAGGAGGATCCTTAGGGCTTGCTGGCCAGGCAGTTGAGTCTTAACTAGTGAGCTCCAGGCCAAAGAGTGCTCCTGAGGGCAACACCAAAGACTGTCCTCTGACCCCACATGCATTCAACCTGCACATGCACTTTTTTATTTTTTTTATCTTTTTGACCCTGTAATCCCAATTGGCCTGGAACTTGCTATGTAGACCAGGCTGGCCTCAAACTCACAGAGATCCACCTGCCACTGCCTCCCAAGTGCTGGGATTAAAGACACGTGCTACCATGCCTGGCTACAAGCACTTTAAAAAGAACAAAAAGTAACATTCAGAGGTCACCCTGGGCTACACAGCAAGATACCGTCTCAGAAAATAAAAGAATAAAAACCAAGAAAGAAAGAGAAGCCAAGTATAGTGACAAAAGCCAGTGGTCCCAGCATTTGAGTGGTGGAGGCATTAGGATCAAGAGTTCAAGGCTACAGGAGACTCTGTCACCAAAGTCAGAGGGAGGAGAGAAGATGAGAAGGAGAGAAAAAGAAATGAAATGATCCCCTGTTGAAACATAACAGGCCTCGAAATTTTTTAAAGACAATCCTGAGGTTTTCACTTTCTCACAATGTGAAAATCAATGAACTAGCAGTTAAACAATTACTAAAAATACTATAATTTCATATTGTAAACTTTAATTAATTTTCCTTTTTCTCCTGTACCAAGACTGACACAACTAAGGGAAACTACATAGTAATTTTGCATAAACATGATAGTGTTAATTTTGCATAAACATGATAGTGTTAATTTTGCATAAACATGATAGTGTTTAAGGTTCCCCCAAGGGACTTGGCAAAACATGAATAGAGGGAGCTTCCAAAGCACTCCACAAAAGCCATCTTCAAAAACCAAAACTTACCTTTCTCTTGAAGCTGAACCAGAAACAACTTCTTATGTTCCTTGGGCTTTGTAATATGTGCAGGAATATATGGATACTAAAATAAAAAATGAGAATAATTTTTAAAAGCCACTATTCTTTACACTTCCATAACTTTACTCCAATTTCAGACAAATCTCAACTATCCTCACATCCTAAGTCAATTTTACTGTAACACATACCCCATGACTTCATTTATTTTTCTGGATATACCTCCCAGAAAACTGCTGGTAGTATGCTACTTTCTGGTTTCCCTTCACCAGAACCAAAGTGCTAATAAGTGCTTTTTCATACATATAAATAACATCGAATCTGTCAACAATTCAAATAGTCACAAAATTTATAGCTTGGAAAACTTACAACACAATGAAGTTCGGTTTTTTTGGTGGTGGTGCTTTGGTACCTTTGGCTGGCCCGTAACTCTCTATATAGACCAGGCTGGCCTCAAACTCAAGAGATCCACCTGCCTCTATGTGCAGGATGCTGGAATTAAAGGCATGCACCACCACACCTCATTTGATTTTAATTAGTGTGCCTAATAAAAATTGCTGCCGCTGTTTTTAAGAATCATTTGTAAGATAAAGGTCTATAATCCTGATGTGAACATGTTTACCACATAGTAAGTTTAAATATAGCCTGTGAAGTATTTGACAAGATGCTCTTTGCCCCGTCCCCCAACCTCCCTGCCCCCAAACACACATGCTTTAAGAGCATCAGATGAGCTGTGTAAGTGGAGTTCTGCCAGTTGGGCAGAGTCTACCTGCTGGGTGAAATGGGGAAAATATTTTTAGAAAAGTTAAAGGGGTAAAGGGAACTAGAGAAAGTACTACTTGAGAACAATTTTGACATAGAGGGGAGAAAAGTTAAGACAGGGATTTTTCTTTTTTCCTTCTCTACTATGTCTATATTGTAAAAACCTTTCCTACATTTCCCCACAATATATTCAGAAATCTACCTTTTCTTTTTCAGTTGTACTTGAGAGGAATTTCAAAGTACTGAAAACAGATATAAAGGAAGAATGGAGTAAAAGCCACAGCTCCCAAGCAGAGGTGTCATCATCTCACCCATTTTGTTTTGCTAAAAGAGGCCAAGTAACTTTCCCAAGATTGTTCAGCTCAGTGAAGATAAAATTCAACCCCACTATTCAATTCTTACCTGATTACAAAAGCCTATGCTACTACCCACTGGCACCTAACCAGTGTCCAAGATAGGATACTTATACACCAGAACCACCACCCCCTTCCCCATATAGTGAATTGAGGTGACTGGCCCAGAGTTTGTAGGTCTATCCTGAAAACCAGACATACCAATACCAAAGAGACAGAGGTAAGAAAGAACTCAAGTAGGCACATACTGGAAAGACCATCTGTGCATCTGTGGTTCACAACCACAAACCAGGACCAAAGTAAAGGAAGTTCATTACTTGAATTTTCTTCTGTTTGAGGCTTACCACCCCACCCTACCCTCAAGCCTCTTCTCCAATCCCAGGCTTAACATCTAAGCCAGTTGGCTCACTTCCTAGGACTTTACAGGCTGAGACAAAGAATGATACTGTGCTGTTTCAAAAGTAACACCCAATTAACACTCTTTTTTTTTTTTTTTTTTTTTTTTTATGTGTATGAGTGTATTGCCTACATGCAGGTAAGTACACTGGTGTCGTGCAATGCCTGAGGAGGACAGAAGAGGCTGTGGGATCCCCTGGAACTGGAGTTATGGGTAGTTGTTAGCTGCCATGTAGGTGGTGGGATTCAAACCCGGGTCTTCTGCAAGAACCAGTGTTCTTAACCACTGAGCTATCTCTCCTGCCCCCCCAATTAACATTTTTAACTAAATTAATAAAGCAATACTTTTTTTTTATATCTATAGCGCCAAGACCAGCTTTAGGCTTCAATGAAGTAAGGGAAGAGTACTAGGGCCATAGTAGGGGAGATACAGAGTATTCAGAAAACAGCCTGGAAAACTTTGGGGTTATTACTGAGCACTTTCCAATTAAAGAAAGTCCAAGAAACAAAAAGATGTTTAGAATAACTGTTATACACAACTTTGAGCTAGCAATTTCACTATGTATGAAGTAATTGTGCTTCCTAGAGCCAGAACATGGATGTATTTGTGGCAATTCTCAAGCAATAAACACTGACGTCTGTGTCCACAGAGTCCTGTGTACACAGCTACACAAGGCAGTTAGGAGAGGACAGAACATCTCTTACTTAGCCAATATTGTGTAATACTTCACCTGGAACATACTGTGAAAAGAAGTTATCAAGTAAAGGGCTTTTGATTTGTCCAAAGAATTCAAGATCCAACTTTAGTATGCTCCCTTACTAGCCAAAGTTTGAAAATCTGAGTACCAATAACATTATCAATCATTATAATGGATTTAAATACATCAAATAAATTAATGTGGTCACATGGACACTTTAAAAAACCCACACTGGGCTAGAGAGGTGGCTCAGTGATTAAGAGTATTGGCTGCTCTTGCAGAGAACCTGAGGTTCAATTCCCAGCACCCACATGGCGGCTAACAATCATACATAACTCCAGTTCCAGAGGATCTACCGCCCTCTTCTGACTTTCTCACGCACTGTGAGACATGGGTGCACTTACATACATGCAGGCAATACACTCCATATAAAATAAAAATAAATTTTAAAAAATTTTTAAAAAGACCAGCAGCATAGTATCTCACTGTCCTTCAGATTTCAGGGCGGCTCTGTTGGGGAGTATCAGAAAATGCCCTTACTACCAATGTTTCACTCTGCTTTTCAAGAGCCTCCAAGCTTCTCCAAAGTCTGAGAAGTTTCTCATCCTATGCTCAGATATTTGAAACTAAAGGGAATTCACTCAAATCTCACCCAAAGGGGAAAGAGTCCCTGGCCTTCCAACTTTTTGGTGGACAATTCTGAGGGACAATCAGCATGGTTCTTGACAGCCTTTAGCAACATTAATCTAACTGTTCATGGCTTTAGTAAGATCAATACTATAATGTGGGGGGTTTGTTTTACTATTTTTTTCTTATCTTTATGTGTATGAGTGTTTTGGCTACATGTATGTAAGAACACACCAGAGGGCAATGCCTATGGCAACCAGAAGAGGTTGTTGGAACCCCAGGAACTGGAGTTACAAATGGTTGTTAGCCACCATGCGTTTGCTTGGAATCAAATCTAGGTCCTCTGCAAGAGCAGCCAGAGCTCTTAACTGCTGAGCCATTTCTCTAGCCCCTCTTTTTGTTGATTTTTGTTGTTGTTGCTTGTTTTTTTTTGGTTTGGTTTTGTTTTTGAGACAGGGTCTCATGTTGCCTAAGCTGGCCTAGAACTCTGTATACAGCTAAGGTTGGCCTTGAGCTCCTGATTTTCCTACTTCCACTCCCAGAATGCAGAGATTAAAGGTGTGTGCCACCAAGCCCAACTATTTGTTTTTTAACTTCTGCTGCTTCTGCACCCCCGCCCATACTCTGAAGCTTCCTATCTCACTTCCCAAACAAATTATCTGTACCCACATCTGTCTTACCCACACTCATATTGTATCTTTGAAGGTGATAAGGAATAATTACATTCTTTTGAAAACTTAGGAAAGGAAAAGAAGCATCTGTTATTTCCTATACAACTAAACACCTCAGGGTAACCAAGTTACCATGTCTCACAGTGTCAAGATATAACTGTAACTCCAGTCCCAGGGATCCAACAGCCTCTTGTGACCTCCCCAGTCACTGCTTGACATGGGTGCACTTACCTACATGCAGGCAATACATGCATACACATAAAATAAAAATAAATAAAATTTTTAAAAAAAGAGGTGATCATATGCCGCAGCCAAGACTAGGCTATAACTGACCAGAGCTATCTGGGAACTCACCGATATCATCTCTTACAATGTCTGAATTACACATTCTGGGGGAAGCCAGCTCTCCTAAAAGATAACCGGGGGAGTCATCTTTTGAAGATGTTCCCCTGACAAGGAACTGAGGCAGGCCCTAAGTCAACAACCGGCAAAAACAGAAGCCTTTTGTATAAGAGCCTAGAAGAAACTGAGAGGTCTGCCAATGCATACAAACCGGAACTGGATCCTACTCCTAGTCCCAGTCTCAGCCCCAGCTGTGAACCTGACTGGACTCCATGAGACCCTGAGGGAGACCCACTCTATAAGAGTGCCTGGCCCTGAAAAAACTGAGATAATAAATATCTAGTATTTTAGCTTGCTATATGTTGAGGTGCAGGCTATTAGAAAATGCACAATACCAAAATGTTTCAGATTTCAGAGTTTTATAAACTTTAAAATATTTACAGACGCATGAGTATTCCTGATTCAAAAGTCCAAAACTGAGGGGCTGGAGAGACGGCTCAGTGGTTAAGAACACTGGTTGTTCTTGCAGAAGACCCTGGTTCGAATCCCAGCACCCACATGGCAGCTAACAACTGTCCATAACTCCAGTTCCAGGGGATCTGACAGCCTCTTCTGTCCTCTGCGAGCATTGCACAACACGGGTGCACTTACCTACATGCAGGCAATACATGCATACACATAAAATAAAAATAATAAATATTAAAAAAAAAAGCCCAAAACTGAAATCTAAAACCTTTTCAATGTCATGTCAATGTCAATGTCAATGTCACCCTACACCTCAGATTTTTGCATTAGGGATATTCAATCTGTACTCTGTTACAAAGCCACAGAAGAACAATGCACTACCTATAACAAGCTTTGTTTGCACCCTTTGCCCCTGTGAATCGAAGCCTGAATCCATCAATTTACAGGACATATAGGACAAAGCTATATGATCAATGATAATATGTGGATGCCATCAGCAATTACATGTGATTTTTTTTCTGGGGGGGGGGTCTTTTTGAGACAGGGTTTCCCTGTAGCTGTCCTGAAACTCACTATGTAGACCAGGCTGGCCTTGAACTCACAGAGATCTGCCTGCCTCGGCATCCCAAGTGCTGGGATTAAAGGCGTGCACCACCACACCCGGCTACATGTGATTTTAAGCAACCTGTTTTCATTAACAAATAAAAAAGGTGAACACCTATAAATAGCTCAGTGGTTAAGAGTACTGGCTGCTCTTGCAGAGGGCCCAGGTTCAATTCCCAGCACCCACATGGTGGCTAACAACAGTTTATAACACCAGTTCTAGAGGATCGAATGACACTCTCTTCTGACCACAAGCACTGCACAAGTACACCTACCTACATGCAGTCAATATACTCATACACATAAAACAAAACAAAAAAATTTAAAAATTAAAAAATTTTTAAAGATACATAAGGGGGCTGGAGAGATGATAGCTCAGCGGTTAAGAGCACTGACTGCTCTTGCAGAGGACCTGGGTTTGATTCCCAGTATCCACATGGCAGCTAACATCTGTCGGTAACTCCAGTTCCAGGGGATCCAACACCCTCCATGGGCATTTTACAACACAGGTACACACACACATATAAAATAAAAATAATAAAATTAAAAAAAGTTTTTTTTATTATTTTTATTTTATGTATTGCCTGCATGTATGTGAATGCACCTGTGTCCTGCAATGCCGCGGAGGTCAGAAGAGGGCTTCAGATTCCCCTGGAACTGGAGTTAAGGACAATTTGTAGCCACCATGTGGGTGCTGGGAATCGAACCCAGGTCCTCTGCAAGAGCAGTCAGTTCTCTTGACTGTTGAACCATCTCTCCAGCCCCTAAAATATTTTTTTTAAAAGACATATAAGAGTGCCGGGCGTGGTAGCACACGCCTTTAATCCTAGCACTTGGGAGACAGAGGCAGGCAGATCTTTGTGAGTTCAAGGCCAGCCTGGTCTACATAGTGAGTTTCAGGACAGCTGGGGCTACAGGGAGACCCCGTCTCAAAAAAGATCCCCCCCCAAAAAAAGACATATAAGAAACCTATTCTATTTCAAACAAATATAAAAACATATAGAAAAAAACAGGATATATGAAAATTGTGAAATTACTTCTTTTTGTATGGTAATAGGTATTTTTCTTGAGCTGGGGATGTAGCTCAGGGGTAGTATGCTTATCTAACCCTGGGTTCCAGTTCTTTTTTTTTTTTTTTAATTTATTTTATGTGTATGCATGTATTGCCTGCAGGTAGGTAAGTGCACCCACGTCGTGCAATGTCCGCAGAGATCAGAAAAGGCTGTCAGATCCCCTGGGACTGGAGTTACAGACAGTTGTTAGCTGCCATGTGGGTGCAGGGATTCGAACCAGGGTCTTCTGCAAGAACAACCAGTGCACTTAACTGCTGAGCCATCTCTCCAGTCCCCCAGTTCTGATTTTTAATAAAGTCCTTATCTTTTATGATTCATAGCAAAATATTTAAAATTGAAATGATATCTATGATTTGCTTCAAAATAGTCCAAGGTGAGGGCAAGAGGATGGAGCAAGAGCAGGAAGAAGGTTATGAAGAATGTATGGTCATCAATTATGAATTTTAGTCAATGCTATTCTACTTTTACATATTTTTAAAAATTTCCCTTAAAAGAAAAATGTATGGGCTGAAGCTGTGGCCTATCAGGCATAAACCCTGGGTTCAATCTCTAGTACAACAAAAAAAAAGCAAAACAACAAACTAATAATCTCAGCACCCAGAGATTATGGTTGACTCTTTCTCTGGTATGGTTGCACACCTGTCATCCCAGCCCTTGGGAGGTAGGAATTGGGAGTTCAAGGCCAGCCATGGCTATACAGTGTATTCAACATCACACATACATACATACATACATACATACATACATACATACATATACATACAAAAGAAATAGAAAAAAAGAAAAGATCCTTGGCTTTGTAAATGTTTCCTAACTCTAAGGAGGAGAGAAAAGGAAACTGGAAGTCAAGGTCTACTTTGATCACTGTGTATTTCCATGTATTTTTAGTGTGTGTGTGTGTTTGTGTATGTGTACTGAAGCATGCATGTAAAGTCAGAGAACAACTTAGGGGATTGAATTGTTTCCTTCTATTATGTGGGTCCCAGGATCACACTCAAGGCCTCAGGCATGGTAGCAAGTACCTCTCCCAGCTGAGCCATCTCAGCAGCTCTATCACTCAATGTCTGCAATTAAATCAGTTTTTTGCTTCCCCATATGCCTGGCAAATACAACTGAACACTGACCTGAGGAGGTTCAAAATTTGGTCTCCACCAGTTACCAATGCAGTCATCAATGACCCAGTCTTGCAGGACTCCATCTTGACGACCCAGTATCTATGAAAACAAAAAATGGTACAGTGAATAAACTAAATACACCCATCTTTGATGGAGACTATTTTGGCAACACTCTTAATAAAGACATCAATCAGCTACTGGCCTTCCTTATAGATTTCCACTCTGTCAAGATATATACTATTAGTTCAAATCTAGTATCAACCTAAAAAAAGGACTAACAAATCTGTTCTTACACTGTATACATGGAAAACCAAGTGATTAGTTATTTACACCAGCCAAGTAGCACATAACTAGTTTCCTAGAATCAACTAGGGCTTCTATAACTCATCTATAGAACCAAGTTACAGAAATGTTAAAATTCCACTGTTACTCTATATATAACATAATATGAACTTATTTTGATCAAAAGTTATACTGTATCCATTTCATTGGTTTAAAAAAAGGTCCAAGAAGTTCAGAATAAGTAAATAGTTCCCAGGGGCTGGAGAGATGGCTCAGCAGTTAAGAATATTGGCTGTTCTTGCTGCAGACCTGGGTTTGGTTCCTACATAGTGGCTAACAACCATCTGTAACTCCAGTTCCAGGGGATCTGATGCCCTCTTCTGGCCTCCACAGACATTGAACAACATGCTGCACTTACGTATCTGTAGGTAAACATACTCATTAAATAAATATAAATTTAAAAATGTATTTTAAAGAAAAAGAAAGCAGGGGCTGTAGAGATGGCTCAGAAGTTAAGAGAACTGGCTGCTCTTGCAGAGAACCTAGGTTTGATTCCCAGCACCACATGGCAGCTAACAACTGTGCATAACTCCAGTTCCAGGGGATCCAACACCCTCTTCTGACCTCCAAGGGCACTGCATGACACAGGTGCACTTACACACATCCAAGCAATACACTCATACATATAAAAATTAAAACAAAAAAGAAAAAGAAAGCTCCTGTTTCACTCATTCCTACTGGCTACATCATTCAACTCCTAGTTAGTTATTTTTTCACATTATTTGTCTGTATGTTTAAAAATATTCTTTTGGTTGGGGCCAGAGAGATGGTTCAGCAGTTAAAAGCACAGGCTGCTCTTGCAGAGGACTGGGGTTCAGTACCCAGCACTTACATGACAGCTAGCAATCACCCATAACTCCAGTTCCAGGGGATCCAACACCCTCTTCTGGCCTCTGTGGGCAATGCTTACATGTGGTATACTTATATATATGCAGGCAGACTCATAAAAATAAATTTCAAAAAATTAAAAGTATTCTTTTTGTTTCTAAACTATTTTAGAGTAGTTTTTACATTTCCAGAAACCTTATAAAGATGGACCAGGAACTCCCACGTAGTCTACACCACTGCCCTATCATCAACATCTTACATTACTATAGCACATTTGTTACACTGATGAATCAATACCATACAGGATTACCAACAAAACCCATACAGTTTTCAGGGCTCCTTAACCTTTGCATAATGTCCTTTTCAGGTCCCAGATCCTCCTAAGATACATCTGGTCATCACTTTTCCTAAGTCTGCTCTATTCTTACTGCATCTTATCAAAGGGATCTGCTATCAGTATAGCTCACCACTGATGTGAACCTTAATCACCTGGCTGAGGTGATGGCTGTTAGATTTCACCAATATAAAACTGCACATTTAAAGGCATATCCTTTATGACCATTTCTTGATTGACTTCCATTTTTAAAAGCCTCAAAACAACCCTATTATCTCCTATTTTAGTTGAGAATTTAGTTATTAAAAAATATTGCTCATTCATACTTTTCGCCTATAAATCTCCCATTGTTGATTAAACATTCAGTACTTAAATTAGCAACTACCCTCACCAAAAAAGCCATTAATAAACCATAATTGCATTTCCTAATTTGCACATCTATCCTTTAGCTACTATTTCATTTCATTTGCTATCACTAAATTCTTTCCCATATCTGAGAGCCCAAATTTCTTCTTATTCAAACACCAATCACTATCCATTTTCTAAGGATAGTCCTATGCCCTCTGCTATACACAGTACGGCTTCAAACCTGGAGCACTAAGTCTCCCTGGGCTTCTCTCTCCTCTAACGCTGGACCCTAATAATCTGAATCCTATATCATTTCCAATTCATTCCTTCATCTGGTAGTGAACGCTCTCATTTCCTGAGAAAAGGTACAAGAGATAATGCTTTGTTTTTTGAATCTGCAGGTCTTAAAATGACAACTTTTCTAGCATTGTTGCTTCATATCTTTACTAGAGTTCCAGGATGGAAATCATATTCTTTTAAAATTATGAAGCCATGCTTCAGGTCTTTCAGCTTCCTGTATGATTTCTAGGCCTGAGGTATTTACCAATTAAAAAAATTTTTTACTACTATGTGCGTGCAAGGTTGGTGGGTGTGGACGTGCATGCCGTGGCACTCAGGGGAGGTCAGGAGACAACTCTGTGAAGTTAGTTTTGTCTTTTCACCTTTATGTGGGTTCTGGGGCTTGATCTCAGGTCACCAGGATCACGCAAGAAGCACCTTTACCTACTGAGTCTTCTCACCGACTGTACATTTATTTTCTGCAACAAAATTCTTACATGTATTTATTTAGGTGCAGGGTGGGGGGATGCATGTCCGCAGTGCATGAGTTGGGGTCAGAAGACAACTTGGAAGAGTCATTTTTCTCCCTCTACTATGTGGATTCCGGAGCTCAAACTCAGGACATCATGCTTGGCAGCAAGTGCCCTTGCACGCTGATCGATCTCGCCAGTCCTATTTTGATTTTGAGGTTTATATTAACCTCCTTAACTGCCTGTCCACCCCCTCCACTTCAGAAGTGCTGAGGATATTCTTCATCACCACTGATCACAAGCTTCAGCTTACATAGATTTAAGTTTTTCATTACAACAGGTAGACCACTAGGTCTTTGATAGTCAAAATTCATGCCCTTTCAATTTATGAAACTTCCTCAGATTTTGTCTTGCTAATTCTTTTCCTACCTCAATCCTAGTAAGCTACAGGTTACATCCTCCTGGAATGACCTACTAATTTAACCTTTTCTCACTTGTATGCTTTTATATTTTCATTCTTCTCCCTAGATGAATACAGCTCTCCACCCCCACCTTCAAGACAGGGTCTTCCTATGCAGCGCAGGCTGGCCTCAAACTTCCAACCCCTCTACCTTCCTCAGTCTTCTGCATGTTGTGATTACAGGCACAAGTCACCATGCCGTCCATTAACCTTCTATTGGACCTTATTGTTTCTAGCATTTTTAAATGATTTTGTTGGCTAAATTTCTCTTTATTACATTTGTGTGTGCATATGTGTACACATATGCACCATGGTGTACATGTATGGAGATCAGAGGACAACCAGTGGGAGTCAGCTTTCTTCTTTAATCACATGGGTCCTAGGGATCGAACTCGGCTCATCACACTTGTGGCAAGCACCTTTACTCACTGAGCCATCCCATCAGCCTGCCTCAAGTCTTCTTAATGGTCTCTCGTTTCATAGAGACTATCGCCTCTATTACTCCAAGAAAATCATAGTGTTATCAATTATTTATTTTAGCATTTCTGTTGAATTCATTTTTTTTAGACTTTTATTTTCTTGTAAAAAGACTTTCTTTACGAGCCACTGAAGCTTGTTCATCTACTCACAATTAAGGGTGACACAATGAACAACTGTCACCTGTGGGTGCAGGAGTTGTGACACAGCTGCACTCTCTTTATGAAGACTCCCATATAGCATCACTTGCAGTTTTTCTTGGACTGGACCCTCTGCAGCCTTCCACCTGGCCTAACATTCTGCCACCAAGGGTACCATATCTTTCTGCTTTAACAGTGGCTCTCAGCCCCACTTCCCAGCTGAACTCCTAGGTGGCTCATTACTCAGGGTGAAAGCTTTCACAGTTCTCCCCATCTCCTAACCCTTTTCAATGCTAGGTGTCAGCTGATTTAGCTGCTACAGAGACTCTGTTACCAGTCAGTCTTCGCTTAAACTAGACAGAATGGGAAAAACAACCAATCCAGCTCAAGCATGGGCCCATTGTCCCAGGAGGCCAGCACCTGTAGTCCCTCAGCCTTTGCTCTTCAGTGCTGCATTCTAATTGCCCTCCTGCTGAGCTACACTTTTTAAGTAAGCTATGATTTGCCCAGCTACCTCCTGGTTCTCCCCAATTTTTTTTTTAAAACTTTTTTGGCTATTGTCTCATTTTGGGTTCCCTCAATCCTATTGAATTTATACTTTTTCAAAGCTACCTTCCCCCCACCCCCCTTTTTCTTTGGTCTTTTTGAGAGAGGGTCTCCCTGTAGCCCCAGCTGGCCTGGATTCGCTATGGAGACCAAGTGGCCTCGAACTCAAGAGATCCACCTGCCTCTGCCTCCCAAGTGCTGGAATTAAAGGCGTGCGCCACCATAACTGGCTTTTTCCTCCCTTTTTGGTGGAGTGTTCAGAAAAAAAACAGGAAAGCAAGCAGGTTCAATCTGCCACATGTACATGGGAAACCAAGTACAGCGTTTTCAAGAGTCATAACATGCTTTAAAAAATACTAGAAGGCAGTGTAACCGACTGTGTCTAGTAATAATCAGATACATAAAGATTAGAGACGATGTGCAAACACTGAAGTGTTAGTAGCATTAAAAACGAATTTTTCTGTAGGAAACTATATTTTAAAATGAAATGGATATCTTTTTTAAAGGTTAAAACCTCATTCAATTTTATGTCTTATAGGGTTTATACTGAGTTCAATATTGTACAACTGTATTAATTCAACTGTGAACCTAAAAATTTACAGACACTTTTGAAAGAGATGCATCTTTGCTCTGGAAATTGTTATTGAATATGTTAAAGCTGTAGTGAAATACTTCTTCTAATCATGTGGTTATTAAATAATTTTTACAAAATACTAGAAGGCAGGCAGAGTAGGGTAATTAATCCCAGCACTCAAGCATCAGGGGCAGGAAGCCTGCAAGTTCAAGGCCCAGCGATACCTCCGTAAAGAAAACAACAAAAAACTATCTAAGCCATACATTGCTGTAATTCCAGCACGGAGAAGACGGAGGAAGGAGGATTACAAACTTGACACCAGCCTGAGCTACAAGCATTACCTCAATCTCAGAAACGTTTAGTATTTGTGCATTTACCTCCAACTCTTCAGAATAGATTAGAATGATTTTTTAAAATAAAACTTGTTCAAAATCTAAAAGATCTGCGCAAAACAAAACCAGAGTAATGTAAATAAATCCTCTTTGTGGTCTAATTCTATGTAGCCTACCCTAGAGTAAAACAACTGCACCCAAATCTCCAGCTCCACACACACTAGCTGCACAACACCAAGAAGTGTATTTAACTCTGTGCTTCAGATTTTTTATCTATAGAACAGGATTAATAATAATACCTGCTTCCAGAGCTGTTACAGTTAAAGGAATTACTCCATAATCAGAACACTCAGAACAGTATCTAGCACACTAAGTAGTCAATAAATGCAGGCTTTAAATTTACCATTATTAATACATCAGTCTTTTATTTCAGTATTTATTCATTTATTTAAGTACTTAATAAAGGAAGTTTTAAAGTTTGTCATTATTGTTTCATCAATATTTTATTTAGTAACAGGGTCTCACTCTGTGGCCCAGGCTGGCCTAAAACTTACTATGTGTAGCCTAGGTTGGCCTGAACTCAAGGTAATTTCTCCTGCCTCAGCCTCCCAAGTACCAGGATTAGAGACATCCTTATTTTGCAGAACATAAACATTATAGTTTAAACATAAATACTCAAGTTTAAGTTGTATTTATTGAATACTAAATATTCAAAATAAACTTATCTTTTTCACAAGACATAAGAAAATGTAATCATCTATTAAGTTGATGGTACTCAGATGGGCAAAACTGTCAAAGTGGTTCAATTAAAAAAACAACAACAACAAACCTCTGAATGGGCTGGAGAGATGGCTCAGCAGATAAGTGTATTGGCTGCTCTTGCAGGGGACCTAGGTTGGATTCCCAGTACCCACATGGTGGCTAACCGTCCATAAATACAGTTCCAAGGGATCCCACACTCTCTTCTGACCTCCGTGGATATTGCACAACACAGGTGCACTTACACAGGTGCAGACAGTACACTCGTACACATAAAATAATAGGGAAAATATTTTTTTAAGTACCTCTGTCATTAAACGTTTTAGTCCTTCAACTTCATCTTCTCCTGGATTAAGTTCACCACCAGGTCTGTATAAAGGTAAAGAATCTCAGTTTTCAATTTAATACAATTTGGGGATAACAAGAAAGAAAAAAATAATCTTCTGTCAAGTAACTAAGACACCTATCAATGACATTTGATAAAGATAATCAAAACAAGGTTCAAAGGCAGGGGGAATATGCTTGAAAGTTAAATTCATAATGTTAACTACCACACCATTAATATACAATCCTAGTTTTAAGCAGAAAAAAAAAACAAATATAATATAATACAATACAATGTAATATAAATCAGAATCACTGGCAGGCAATCCACTACAGTCCCCTCACTGAAAGCTATCTGGTAAAAATGGAGTCTAGAAATGTCCAGAGATTAGACTACATGTTTTAGGTCTGAAGAATGGAGCATTTTTTCAACAATTTCAATTTAACTTTTTAAGACCTTTCTTTTTGGTACAATCTGATCAGACAACTACGGGCAAGCATATATTTAAAGATTTATGGGCTCATATGATCAAGCTACATTAAAACAATCAAGCCGGGCGTGGTAGCGCATGCCTTTAATCCCAGCACTTGGGAGGCAGAGGCAGGTGGATCTCTGTGAGTTCAAGGCCAGCCTGGTCTACATAGTGAGTTCCAGGACAGCTGGGGCTACAGGGACATCCTGTCTCAAAAAGACCAAAAAAACCCCCCAAAACAATTGCATTCAGTAATGTTACCCTGACGTCTAGAAATGAGTTTGGATCAATCTCCATCAGCAATATACAAAAACATGCAGATTTCTACTTGGGAAAATAAGTGAACACGGCATTGGAAAAAAGATCATGTTTTCTTTCCTCCTTAAGAATCCATTAGCAGTGTTTGTTGAAATAAATGACCAAGGACTAAAACTGTATTCCAAAGCTGCATAAAACAGTCATCCTATTAAAAACTGACTTACTGTTCATTTCCAACAACACTTACAATTTGAAGAAAGTTGTTCCCAGCTGTAGCAGTAACACATGGGGCAGCCGGTGCTCATGTACAATCAGAACACCTTCTACAGTCCTCCTCATTCCAATTTTATCAAATTCCTCCCTCATGCGCTGAAATCTGGCTGCAACAGAGCTGTCCTTCTCATAGAGGGGCTCTTTTGTACCAAAAGTGTAATTGGTAAGAGGGTACCTGTGATCCAAAGACAAACACTGATCTTGAGAACCAATGATCCTATGTTATCAGCCACATATAAAGAAACCATGGTCAAAAGGGCCTATGCTGTGCTCAAAGATTGACCCAAATTTACATAACCAGCCATGGGAGAACAGAAATCAGAATCTTGCTGCTGTATAGACTCTTAAAGTCAAGCTTCCATGTGATCAAGCACAGACAACATTACCCTAACACCCTGAAATGTTCAGTGAGATGGCTATCCATACTGATAATCTTCTGGTTTTAGATCATGGGTGCCATACCAAAAGTTACCAGCCTGGTACCTGACTAATCCTCTACTAATTAATTGGTATTAATGGTTAGTTTTTTCCCCTAAAAGCTGAGCTGCTACTGTCCATGAACATCGCTATTATTTTCTTTTTTAAATTTTTAAAAAAAATTTTAGTTTTTGTCTATGTGTATATATGCAGGTGTCATGGCAGCATGTGCGTGGCGATCACAGGACAACTTCTGTGAGTCAGTTCTCTCCTACTATGTGGGTTCTGGGGATTGAACTCAGATCATCAGGCTTGGTGGTAAGTGCCCTTACCCTATGAGCCATCTCACCGGCCCCTCTCCAATTATTTTCTATTTCTCCCAATCAGTTATCCTCAGATTTTTCTAGCACCAAAACCCATTCCATTTCAGATCAACTTCTCTATGCTTTCTGTCTCCCTCTAAACCTACTTAAGAAGTCTTTTTAGACTTCTGCATTTATCCTATCCAGTATTCTGTCTCTTCCCTTCTCAGTCTCCTACCCATCATATCTGAGCCGAATAATCTCCTTTGTCCGGAACCCAAAATATGACTTACAGTGTTAAAGATTTCCTCTTGCTTAGTAAAGATAAAATTTTTCCTTAAAGTTCAAAACTCACATTTGTATTTTACCACACATTCCATCCTGTAACCCCTTGATTATAAACTTTTTTAATAACAATGTTTTGACTCCATGTGGCTAGTTCCAAGGTATCTCATCTGCCAAAAACCCGACATTGGGCTGGGGAGATGGCTTAGTCAGTAAAGTGCTTGCCAAGCATGAGGTACTGAGTCTGATCCCCAGCACCCACATAAAAAACTGCTCATGATGGGGTGCACCCTTGTAATCTCAGAACTTGAGAAGTACAGACAAGTGGATCCTTGAAGTTCAGTGGCCAGGCCAGTGAGAAACCTTCCCTCCGAACACCCCCAGAAAGGTGGGAGGGGGGATGGAGGGAAGGAAGAAGGCAGGTAGGGGGAGGGAGGGAAAAACGGAAGGAGGGAGGAGTTAGAGTGATGGCTCAGAGATTAAGAGCACTTGATGTTAACCAGAGGATCAGAGTTCAGTTCCAAGCACCCTCTCTTCTAGCACACATGCACACATACATGTGTACACTTGCATACACACACACACACGCATGCCCCTACCTGCATGCACATACAAACCACAGCTGGAGAAGATGGCTCAGTCCATAAAGTGCTTGTGCAAAGTTGAGGACCCAAGGTTGAATCCCCAGAACCCATGTAAAGCCAGGCACAGTAGTACATGTCTGTAATCCCAGTGGTGCTATGGACAAGATGGGAGTCAGGGACAGAAAAATCCTTGGAAGCTTACGAATCAGGTAACCTGGTATATGCAGCAAACAATAAGACCTTATCTTAAACAAGGTGGAAAGTGGAAGCCAAAACCCAGAGTTGTCCTCTGACCCTCACACGCACATGTGCATCCATACAAATGAACAAACGCACACACACACACACACACACACACACACACACACACATCATATACTTGGCCTCCATGCTCAAACTAGTTGCACACACCTCCATGGACACACAGAGCACATACACTCTTGACATTACTAATCAACTATGAACTTAATCTATTCATTTGTTCTTGAGAAAGGAAATCTAGTTGGCCAAAGACAATCATTAGGTCCAGAAGCAAAATTCTAAGCATAAACAAAGTAACTCTAAAACAATGAAAATATACTGCCTTCAAGGGACTTTAAAGATTATAAACACAGTAGACTCAAGAATCAACCTAATACCACCAACAGCAGCAAGAAATTATTTCACATAGCATTTTGTGCCAGGCAATCTTTTAAATGTTTTACATGTTAACATTTTGTTTTAACGATCTGAGCTATAGAGTTAAAGCTAGCCACAACCCTAGTCTATTGCAAGGGCTATAATTTCCAGTCATGAAATCCAAGCCCTAGTCCAGATACAGACATCTTCTTATACCATGAGCATCACAAAGCAGTCTGCATCTTACCCATCTGCATAACTAGGGCTGTTCCCCTTACATAGTACAAAGGCATTCACTTGGTAGTGACTAAATAAAATATATTGGAAGAACAAGATTTACTTTCCATTTACTAGATCATTATTCACCTAGGTGAACTCAAGTTCAGAGGACAATATATCTGAGCAGTGTATTTATATAGGAAATAAAAAGCAGCATAAATCAACTAACTTTAACAAATCAAAGACTGACTTTACTGAAAAGCCTACCCATTTCACTAATTCTACATAATTAGCTGATGTAAATTGATCCAGTAATCAAATAAAGTTTAAAATTACTTAAAAAAAAAAAAACAGTGGGGGAGGTGGCTCAGCAGTTAAGAACACTGGTTGTTCTTGCAAAAGACCCGGGTTCAAATCCCAGCACCCACATGGCAGCTAACAACTGTCCGTAACTCCAGCTCCAGGGGATCCAAAAGCCTCTTCTGTCCTCCAAGGGCATTACACGACATGGGTGTACTTACCTACATGCAGGCAATACACACATACACATAAAATAAAAATAAAATATTAAAAAAAAACAGTGGGTCCTAGTTTATCACTGAAAGTAGTGCAGAGCCAGTGCTTTCCCAGCTTTTGTGTTTTGCGACATGGGAGATAGACTTTGGGGCACTGCACACATTAGGCAAGCTCTCTACCAGTGAGCAATAGCCCCAGCTTGTTCATTGTGAGACAGGGTATCACTACGTGGCCTTTGTTGGCCTGGAACTCAGAAATCTACCTACTTCTGCCTCCCGAGTGCTGGGATTAAAGGTGGGCACCACCACACCCATTTCTTTTAAAAAATATTTATTATTTTTATTTTATGTGTATGAGTGTGTTAGGTGCATGTGTGTTAAGTGTACCCACATCGTGCAATGCTAGCAGAGGTCAGAAGAGGGTGTTGGCAGAAGAGGGTGTTGAATCTCTGGAACTGGAGATACAGACAGTTGTTAGCTGCTGTGTGAGTGCTGGGAATGGAACCCAGGTCCTTTGCAAGAGCAGTCAATGCCATTTCTCCAGGCCCTTCATTTACTTTGAGAGCATTAGCCTTCACCATTTCATGGGAATCTTTTAAGATTTTTAAGTGACAGGAAATTAAAGTGCTACTAGTTAATTTGTACAGACACAACTATCAGCTATTTCCGCAATTTATAAACCTCACATTTTATTCCCTAAATTTCCACGCCAGCACTTGTTTTTTCCAAAAACAGTTACATTAACCTTTTCAATTTCATGCCACATTTGGTTTTGAGGGGGACAAGTTCATTTATTTGAATATAAAACAGAGAAACACCTAAAATGACTTACCATAACACCACCATCAGCTAATTCTTACACTTAAAAAATATATTTTATTATTTTATGTGTATGAATGTATTGCCTGCATGTATGTGAGCGCACCCAATGCCTTGGAGGTCAGAGGAGGGCTTCAGATTTCCCTGGAACTGGAGTTAGGAGCGGTTCATAGATGCTATGTGAGTGCTGTGAATCGAACCCGGGTCCTCTGCAAGAGCAGTCAGTGCTCTTTACTCCTGAGCCATCTCTCCAGCCCCCAATTCCTACACTTTTAAAACACAGAACCAGCCTAAACTGGCCAGTTCTGTTCATTAGGGTCAGTTCCATATGGGTGGGGGGAGAAATACCAAATTTGTTGAGTGAGTCCTAGGCCAATTACTTGCTACAGCAGGGTTGTTTTGAGAGTGGCCTTGAAATACAATGATTTGCTTAAGTAGAAAAGTGTGTTGAAAACAAAGCCCTTAAATAGGTTCTCTGGGCAACATGCCTGATACCTCCATTGTCGGAAAGCCTAGCAGAATAACGGTGTAGACTCTCAATCTAGGCCTGGGATGCACGTGTCACCTGGGTAGGCAACACTTGTAAATATGTGACAGACCAGAAAGCATTGACATGAATAAAATTGGGTGGAATACTACACAAAACTTAAAGAGAAAACTAGGCCGTTATAGGTAAAGCTGGAAAACTTACTACAAAACCACAAACTACAAAAATGATACTACGCTCTCTCATTCATTACAAATAACCACTCTTGTAGGACGACAACATAAACACTGGACTGAAAGAACACATCACAAGAGGTGGAGAAAGGATGGATTCAAAGCAAACCTCGGTTTAACCCACAATGACTAAAGAAGGGAGGAAAAGCCTTCATTCTAAAAAAGCAAAACGGCCAACAAGCCCGGCTCGCTGCCCTTGGGGCCTCATCCGCCAAGATCAGAAAGAGGCAGGCCTAAGACAGGGAAGCGCAACCCGAGGCCAGCATCCCGCAGCGCGCGTGGGGGCGAGCGCCCAGGGAGGGATGCTCGCGGAGGGACGCTCCCGAGGCTGCGCCACACTTACAGGTTGATGGTGCGCTCCAGAGTGAGGGGCTTGGTCTGCTGGATGTACTTGTTTCCGAACTGGTTGACCCCCCGGGGCCAGCCCGTCTGCGAGCGATTAGGCGGCACCACAGACATGCTGAACAGCTCCGACACTGGTGACGAGCACAAAGCGGGAACCAGGGGAGACGTCCCCGGCGCGGGCAGCGGTTATGCGTGTCCCACTCAGCAGCCGCCACACGCCATTAACAGTCGAGAGCAAGTGGAGGAGGACGCACGCCGGAAGTGAATCCAGACGCTCTGGCGGCAGGAAGTGGAGGGGCGGGGGCCGTTCCAGGACCCGGGTATTGGACCAATCGCTGGCGGAACGACCGCAGTATGTGGCATTTTCATTGGTTAATTAGGTACAGGTTACGCCTCTTCAGGCTTTGGTGCCTTTCCATTGGGTAATGCCGCGGGACTCCGGAAGGGGGCATCTTGGGAATTGTAGTTTCCGGAGGGAAGTAGCCTCCAGACTGCAGTAGCGTGGCTCCGTACCTGTTGAGGAGATGAATGGGAAGCGGCCTGCGGAGCCGGGCCAGGTCCGGATAGTGAAGAAGGGAAAGAGGCAGGTGGTGGCGGAGTTTTCAGGCGCTGTCAAGGAGAAAACTCTGAGGAATCAGCTGGCTGAGGCCTGGAGACGCCGGACGCCGTTCAGCCACGGTAATGGGGCGCCGTGAGGGAGGAGCCGCGGCGTGGCCGGCGGAGCTCCGGCATCAGGGCGGCGCGGAAGAGGCTTCTGGACCGTGGTCACCCCAGACCGCTGCTCCTTTCATTACATATTCTGAATGATTTGAGAATCCTGGGGAGAAAAAGAACGTAGGCCGGAGAGTGTCGGGAAGTGGAGGACGTGCAGACTGCGGGGTGAATTCTAGAATCTGAGGCGGGTGATAGAATCTCCTGCGCGGACTGTGCGTCGTTGGGCAGTAATTTGATTTTGCTTAGGCGTAGCTCCTTCTTTACAAAACGGGCTCGTTCCTAGGATTTCCTTCGAAAAGATGGGATTGGACAGGCTAGTGCTTGTAGCAATTCTTAAGTGTTTCCCTGAATGAGAACCAATAAGCATCACGCCGAGAGTCACGCTCGGTTGTTGCATGATAGTCTAAACAGAGCGGGTGCTGGGAGCTGCCAGAGCACCAGCACCTGGTTTTAACCAGTTTTGACGTGCCTGTCGTTGGGCTATGTGATGTAGGAAATGAGCATATCTTGACAGGGAGGATCGTTGTGATTCCAGCCTGGGCTTCAGGGAATCACCTGATGAGATCTGTATTCTGCTGAGTGCGTCATGCATTTTCTTCCGAAGTTTTCCGTATTTTTTTGTTTCATTTGTTCAGTGCTTCAAAGGGACAGATTCTGGGGGCACTGGATGCTGAGAAATGATGTCAGCTTAGTGCTTAAAGTGCAGGGTTTGGATGCTGAGCGACTTCTCAATTTCCTCATCTGTTGGTAGGGTTAGTGATGACAGTATCCACACTGCATTAGTTGAGATTGTAAGAGAGATAATGCATGTAAAACAGCACTGGGTCAAGCTCCTGATAGGTCAGGATGGTTGTTAGTCTTAGAGTGGTAATCCAGCCTGCCAGAGGCAGAAGTGACAATAATGGAGGTGAAATCAAGGAATCTGAAGAGGTTATGAGTCAACTGACATTTTAAAAAATGTAATTTTCTTCCCACAGTAACTTGGGGAGCGAAAAGGGCAAGATTGAAGAGAAATTGCAAGCCAATTTTGCTACCCTTGTTTAATGTGCCAATTTTATTCAATTTAGCTTTGTAGAAAATGAATTAAGGATCTAAAATGCCCTGGGCATGTCTTTAATCCCAGCACTTAAGAGGTGGAGGCAGGCAAGTCACTGTGAAATTGAGGGTACACAGGTCTACATAGGGAGTTAATTTGGCCAGCCAAGTCTGTATAGTGAGACCCTGTCTCAAAAACAAAAAAACCAAACAAAAATTCATGATTGTCTGCTTTTGTGTTCTCTATTATGCTACTTGATGGTCAAAAATACAAAAGAAAAAGCCACAGATAATGTTTTCCTCCCAACAGACGCTATTGACATAGACATGGATCCCTTTCCTCACTGTGTGATCCCAAACTTCATCCAAAGCCAAGACTTCTTGGAAGGACTTCAGAAGGAACTTTTGAGCTTGGACTTCCATGAAAAGTATAATGATTTATATAAGTTCCAGCAGGTATTTATTGCTATTGCATTCCTCTTCCTCCTCAGAAATTCATTATCCATAATCTCATTCAGTACCTTTAAGACTTGAGGTTCTAGATTGGGTTTGCTTTGGAGGGTCTTCACCTTGACATTGTTAAATGTTTCTTCATTCAACATAAGCTTACTGAGTGTTTACTATGTATTGGCTGTTATAATTATTATAAGGGAGATTTTGACAATCCTTACCCTTTAAAGTCTATAATAATAGGAGTGATAATGGCAGGAATAGTTAAGAAATGCATTAAAGCAGTAAGTGAGTACACCATAAGCAGAGGGGGACAGGCATTTGGGGAGCAGTTTGATGAACAGTCTTATATTAGAAGATAGTAACCATTTACAGTTTTGAGTTCATATCTTTGCTTTTGTGGCTTGGTGTATTACAGTTATAATATATGGTCAGCATTACAATGTATCTTGCAGAAAGTTAAATACATTCTTTGCCTTTTGGGAGTTGGGGTGCTGTTTTGATCTCAGAACCTTGAGCACAGGAGGCATGTGCTCTGCCACAGAGCTACATTCCCAACCTTCCATTCATTTTTTGGTGGACAGTTTGACCAAAAAGACTATCTTGAATCCAGGGTGGTTTTTCCCCTAGTCTTAGAAGATAACTGAGCCTGTTGCAGAAATATGTCATTGGTATAACCCCATTTGGAGGGCGTCTTTCAATACTTGGATTCTTTACTCTTTTTTAAAAATATTTTATTATTTTTATGTCTATGAGTGTATTGCCTACATGTATGTGAGTGCACCTGTGTTGTGCAATGCCGTGGAGATCAGAAGAGGGCTTCAGATTCCCTTGGAAATGCAGTTAAGGACAGTTCGTAGCTGCCATGTGGGTGCTAGGAATCGAACCTGGGTCCTCTGCAAGAGCAGTCAGTGCTCTTAACTGTTGAGCCATCTCTCCAGCCCCGGATTTGTCACTCTTTTAAGTCCTTTAGGATACTTCAGGTTATCATGATTTAAAAGTGAAAGAGATGAAACAGATAAAGAATTATGTTTGTTCACTTTGCATTTCCCCTTTGATTTTATCTGAGTAAGAGAGTAAATAACAGATCTCTCATTCTTTGACACTGGAGCTGATAATCTGATCAGGTGGCAATACCTTGCCCCATTCCAATCTATCTTTCAACTCTGTACATGTGATTAAATTACTCAGGCTAAATAGATGATGAAACACTTAATTGAGAAAAGCTGATGCAAATCAAAATTTTATTCAAATAAGATTGACAAGGTTAGTATTTTCTCACTTTGTTGTCTGCTTTTATAGTTGTATCAACTTTTTTATCCTAAGCCATCTCTGATTACTAAATTGAGATATCAGAGTGTATGTGTGTGTTCATGGATCATGCATGTATGTGCACATGCACGTGGAGGCTAGAGGACACCTAAGGCACCATCCACTTTTGTTTTGAGGACGGGGTTTCTCAGTGACCTGAAGCTCACCAAGGCTAGGCTGGCTGGCCAGTGAACCCCAGTGCTGGGATTATAAGCACATGCCACCACACCCTGCTTTTTCTGAGTGAATTCTGGGGAGGAACCTAAGTCCTTGTGCCTGCAAGCTGAGCATTTTACTGACAGAGCTATCAGGCCACCTCCAGAATGGTTTTTTTGTTTGGTTTTGGGTTTTTGGTCTTTTTGAAACAGTATCTCCCTGTAGCCACAGATGGCCTGTACTCACTATGTGTACCAGGCTGGCCTGGCTCTTACAGAGATCCTCTTGCCTCTGCCTCCGGAGTGCTGGGATTAAAGGTATGTGCCACCATGTCTGGCCCCAGAGTGGTTTTTATTTGATGCTGCTAGACATGTAGAAAATATTTTGTTGAATGTGAAGTCAGCATGAGGAAAAATAACAAAAAGGACTCTTAGGTGATGAAGAAAAAACAAAAGCCAATACCTATTTCAAATAAATTTTACCTTGCTTGCCTTAGACGAGATCCTTCACTTGTATACCTTTTTCTTTGCACGTGGTATAAATTTAACAGATAACTGGGTCTCTGGCATATTCCAGCCTTCCTATACATTTGACATTGGAGCCATACAATAGTCTGTTTTTAAAGCATTATCGAGTGCATGCTTTATGAGAACCCAAGTGTTTTATATTTATTCAAGTCTTCATAACAATCCCATGAAGAAAATATATTACTATTCCTGTTTTACAGATAGGAAACTACATCATTTGTTTCTTCTTTTTTGTTCTCTAAAATATGACAATAGTAATAATAACAAAAAACTGTTCATTAATAAAATAAGATAAGCTCTGACCCTGACTTTTCCTTTAGCTTCCATCCTATTTTTGTTTGTTTAGTTTGGTTTGGTTCTGAGTGGGTTTTTTAGACTGAGTCTCCAGATACAAGCCAGGCTGGCCTCAAAGGGACAATTCTCCTGCCTTTTGAGTGATGGCATTACAGGCCTGTGACATCACACCCAACTAGCAGAATCTTTTAAGAGTTGTCTATATGTTTCACATCCCTCTCCTCTCCTCTGGTAAGCCAGTTTTAATCATATTCTCCCCTTACCATTCCACTTCAACTATATGTCAAGGCTACTCACTGCCTCCACATTAGGAAATCTACTCACCAGTTTTCAGTCTTTACTCAACCTTTTTTTTTTTTTTTTTTTTTTGGTCTTTTTGAGACAGGATCTCTCTGTAGCTCCAGCTGTCCTGGAACTCACTATGTAGACCAGACTCCAGACTGGCCTTGAACTCACAGGCCTGCCTCTGCCTCCTGAGTGCTGGGATTAACGGCATGCGCCACCATGCCCAGCTACTCAACCTTTTAGAAGCATTTATATGGTTCCACTTTCCTTTCAGGATACCATTTGGCCTATTTGAATACACCTCTCTCTCTCTCTCTCTCTCTCTCTCTCTCTCTCTCTCTCTCGCCCTGTCTCTTTTTTTTTCCTCTCTCTTTTTGAGAGAGGGTCTCTCTGTAGTCCCAGCTGGCCTGGAACTTACTATGTAGACCAGGTTGGCTTCAAACTCCAGGAGATCCATCTGCCTCTGCCTCCCAAGTGCTGGGATTAAAGGTGTGTACCACCACACCTGGCAGATACCATACTCTTAATTTTCCTTCTTCATCACAGGCCTTCTTTCTTAGCTTCCTCTTCTAGATCATCTCCTGTTGTGTGAAAGACTTTTCCTGGGGAGACAAAACACGCCTACTCACCCTAGAGAAGGAACCCAAGACAGACGAAAGTTCAATTTGGTGAACCAATGAGTTTTTATTTGGGTTACTAATAGGCACATGGATGAGGGGTTTGCTTAAAGCATCTGCTGAAAAGCCCACACCAAGAAAAGCCCACCCCAACACAGTGACAGTACATGGAAGCTGCAACCCGGATGCTCTCTGCACAAGTTGCAGGCGCTAGACAGGTCTGAGGCTCTCCTCTTGGCAGCCTGACTGGTCAGAGTCTCCTCCCCAGCAGTTGTTCACTGCTTCTGGGAAGCTGAGAAGGGGCCTTGAGAATATCGTAAGGTTCGGCTTTGCTAGATAGGTGAGGTTTGTTTACCTCCTGAGGCTTGTGACCCTCCCCCTCCCTACTGGAGGGAATGTTTCAATTTGGAGGAAACTACTAGAGCTTTCTCTCCCTTTTTATTTAAGTTTTATCAGAAAACTGGAAAATTTATAGCAAAATAAAAAAAAGTTACCAAAAACAATATTATCTCATTTAGCATAGCTAACAGATCGGTATCCAGTTGTGTCCAATTCCCACTGCACTGTTAGTCAAGGGACTCAAAAGGAAATTTAGTCCTCAAGTCATTGCCTGGAAGGGACAACACTTACTGAACTCCTATGAAATGATTTCTGCTACGTCGGTACACAAACTTGTCAGGTTGGATGACACACGCCCTTAATCCCAGCACATGGGAGGCAGAGGCAGGTAGATCTCTGTGAGATGGACACCAACCTAGTCTACATAGCAAGTTCCAGGCCAGCTGGGGCTACAGGGGGACCTTGTCTCAAAAAAACAAAAACTCTGAAAAAAAAGACAAAAACTTATAACCCAAATTTTTTAAAAATATTGTTTTCAGGGATGGGGGAAACATCCCTTAGTAGACATATGGAGGTCAGAGGACAGCTTTGTGGACTTGGTTCTCCCCCTCCACCTTTATATGGATTCCAGGGATCAAACTCAGATCTCTAGGTTTGCATGGCTGCTTACATGGCTTTTACTCATTGAGCCATCTCACAGGCCCTTATAACCAACTTCTTTTTTTAAAAATATTTTATTTATTATTTTTTTATTTTTACTTTATGTGTATGCATGTATTGCCTGCATGTAGGTAAGTGCACCCATGTCGTGCAATGCCCGTGGAGGACAGAAGAGGCCGTCGGATCCCCTGGAACTGGTGTTTCAGACAGTTGTTAGCTGCCATGTGGGTGCTAGGATTTGAACCTGGGTCTTCTGCAAGAACAGCCAGTGGTCTTAACCGCTCAGCCATCTCCCCAGCCCCATAACCAACTTCTTAATGACTGCATCCTTCCTAGTAACTGAATACTTTAGGAATTGGTCCCTGGACTAAGATTAGACACAGATTTCCATGGAGTCTCATCACTTTCTGTCTCCTCTTAGATGTCTAGCAAGAGTCTCACTCTTAGGTCCAGACTAAACTAATCTAACCCTCTGAAGTTTGTTCTACACACAGTTTTCCCATCTCAGTAGCAACTTGACCTCAGGTCAAAATGAGCCTTTCTTGACTCTTTCCATTCCTTATGACCAATCCATTAGGAAAAGTTTTTCTTCTCTGCCCTCAAAAACACTTCCTACCACTCCAACAGCCTGCACCTGATCCAAACTATCTCTGTCTCTCACCAAGATTATTGTATTAGTGCATTAGCCAGTCTCTTACCCTCACCCACTGTCATAACTACAGCTTGTCCTTTTAACATATAAGTGGATCCAAAAGAATTGGAAAATGTACTTTCACATAAAAATTTGCTCAAAGATGTTCATAGCGGTACTATTTATAATAGTCCCAAAGTGGAAACAACCAGGTGTCTATCTACTCATGAATGGATAAATAAATGCAGTATGCCCATACAGAGGAGTATTATGTAGCCATAAAAAAGGAATTCACTGCTGCTGCGTCGATGAACCTTGGGAACATTTCGCTAAGTGAAAGAAGCCAGACTCGGGCCAGTGAGATGGTTCAACAGGTAAAAGCACTTGTTGCACAAGCCTGAAGACCTGAGTTCAAGTCCTAGAATCCACCCCCCAAAAAGCATCTGTGATCCCCGCACTCCTACAGTAAGATGGGAGGTAGAGACACGAAGCTTGTGGGGCATCTAGCCTAGAGTATGCAGCATGACAGAAACAGCAAGGGAGACCCTGCCTCAACAAGGTGGAAGGAGAGAACTTACCCCTGAAAATTGTCCTCTGACGTCCACCTGTGCACCATGGCACACACATGCATGTACACACACAATAATAATAATAATTAAAAAAATAGCAAGACTCCAGACTGAAAAGTTATGTATTATCTGAATAGGCAGATAACATGTATAGAACCAAGAAACAGGCTAGTGTTGCTGGGAGTGGGAGAGAATGAACCTGACTGCCTGATGGGTACAGGATTTCGTTTTGGAGTGCTAAAAAAAAATTCTGGGCTTGGGTAGTACTGTTAGCTACATCTGAATGCATCTATTGAAACCCATTGAATATGTACTTTCAAATGGTTAAAATCTACATTTTATATTATGGAGGTTTTTATCTCAAATTTTATCTCATGTTCCTCCTTCTTTCAAAAGCTGTAATGGTTCCTCATTCCATGAGTAAGCCAGAGTACATAGACTGGCCCTGCCCCACTGCTGCCCATTTTCAACTATTCTGCTTGCAATGCTGCACAGTCTCCCTGAAATATTTTGGATGGGTTTTGGTTTACCTCACTGAATTCTTCCCTGGCTCCCCTGTTTATAACTGCCAACCACTGGCAGCACAAACAGATCCTTCCTCTGCAGTTGTTTTCCTATACACATGTCATCTTTATACTAATAATCTGCATTTTGTGGGTACTATCTGTTTCCCTCAACAAACAAAGTTCTCTGTAATGACTACTCTATTTGTTGGGTGAATGAAGTACAAAGACACTAAGTCACCTGCCCGTGTCACAGCTGTAAGGTGGGCTCATGTGTGAGACCTCGGCAGCTGGCTTCGGAGTCTAGGCTTTTCACCACAGTGCTGCACTCATTGCAGAGCCCTCACCATTCTTCTCTTGTGCCTAATACTCTGTAACAAGGAAATCCCTTTCTTTTTTCTTTCTTTCTGATCAAGTCTGATGATTTGAAGAAGAGAAGAGAGCCTCATATCTCAGCATTAAGGTAAGCAAGTAATTATATTTGTTGGGTGCCAAGTATGTGTTAGAGTTCTAAGTTCTTTAAATGTTATAGCATAGTGTTTGTTAACATTACTGCATTTGGTACAGGAGGAAAAAAACCCTAAGAAACTAAAATACCCATCACAACTTGAGGGAGCTAGACTACAAATCCAAGTCTCAGATTCCAGGGCCCACAGTCTTTTCTTCTTCTTTTTCCTTCCTCCTTATAGCCCGGTTCTCAGACTGGCCTAGAACTTACTGTGTAGGCCACATTGGCCTCAAACTCATAGTAATCCTCCTGCTTCAGATTCCTGAATGCTGGGATTACAAATAGGAGTCACCATGCCTAGCTCTAAATTAATAAAATGTTCAACTTTGTTAGTCATCAGGGAAACAACCTAACAATGGAGATACTATTTTTCACACATCATTTCAGTTTTAGTGAAATAAAAATCCAATGTTGACAGGCATAGATACATTTTCATACTGTTACAGTATTTTAGAAGATGGTTTAGAATGATCTTAAAAGTATGCATACTTTTATAGAGTAATTCTAGGCTGGAGAAATGACTCAGTGGTTAAGAGCACCAGCTGCTCTGCAGAGGACCCAGGTTCTATACCCAGCACCCACATAGTCGCTAACAACCATTCATAACTCCAGTTCCAGGGAATCCGACGCTCCCTTCTGACCTGCATGGGCATTGCACAACATGGGTGCACTTAATGTACATGCAAGCAATACACTCATATACATAAAATAAAAATAATAAATATATAAAAAAAGAAATTATCATGACAGAATAACTGAGGAACTATTCAAAGATTCCATACTAGATTGTTGTAATGGTGTTCATAATGATGAAAATTTGTTTTCAGAATTAAATGACCATCCACAGATTTATATAAGTAATGGTATATAACATAAATTGGAAAGTATACATAAACAAGTATTCATAAATGATTAAGTCTGTTTATGAATTTTAATACAAACATGATAGTTATATTTTGTTTCATCAATTCAATGGTAACTTTTTAAAAAACATCTCTGAGATGGAGTGTCTTAAATAACCACTATTTTATTTTAATGTACTTAGCCTTTTTTTCTTAGAGGTGTATAAAATAATAGTTCTTAAAAGCAAAGATATCTTGGATCCACTCAAACACACTTTTGTCCAGAGACTAAAGTGCTACCCACATAAACTTGGATGCCCATGTTTGCAAACGAGAAGACTTGGAGCAGACTAGAAGGATTATAGTTTGTTTTTTAGCTTAGTTTACTTCTGTAGATTTCCCTAGAATGAGCACATATGAGCATGTGTTTTCAGTGATGAACAAATATTACTTTAAAAATAGCCATTTCACCTATCTGGAAAGATTTTTCTTCCCTCTTCTATTTTCCAGACATTCCCATATATGGTAGTGGCTGATAGGTTATTTCTTCTAACTCTAAAAAGCATTGCTTATGTATTAACTGTAGTCATATTTCATATTAATTTAGACTTGCTTCATAAAAGAAACAGTGCCATTTTCAGGCATTACCTCATTAGTCCAAAATACCCCTTCTAGACTAAGAGGCATTCCATGCCCAACCAGATAATGTGAGAGCCAGACTTCCTTGGTCATTACAGAAAGCTGATCTTTTCATTCCCACGTGGATTCTGGGAGGTCTCATGAAACAATTAAAATGCCAATTGAAAGGATATAGAAGTCCAACCTGTGACTCACAGCAAGAGTAGAGAAGAGCTGTTATGGGGTCCGTTTAGAAAGGTAATGATGCTAGCTGTTCAAAATATGGAGATTTTGTAGAAGTGTTCATCACCCCCCCACCCCACCCCGTTGTCTGAAGCCTGATTTAAACCTTGCTGCCTTGGTTTGCAGCTGTGCCTCTAAACATACAGAACACCTCTGGTTGACCTACTAAATACAATATTTTATGGGATGTTCTGGTGTGAGGAGTATTTATTTTTTAAACTGATAGTAAAATATTACAGATCTACCAGGAGACTTGATAGGTAGTTATGAACAACATAAAGCATTTTATAGGAATTTCAACTATGTGCATTTGGATGGGTCTTTATGTATATAATTTGAACAGATATAAATCTTTTAAACATATTTGATTTAGGGGTTTATATTTTGTTTTGTTTTTGTTGTTATTTTCAGACAGAGTTTTTCTATGTAGACTGGTTGATCTGGAACTCAGAGCAATCCTCTTACCTCAGCCTCCTCAGTGCTGGAATTACAGGTGTGTGACAGTCTTTCCAGCTAAAAGTTTAATTCATCCCAGTTAATTTCAGAGTTGATTGGCTGAACTAGTTATGAATTACATTAAAGAGACCTACAGAGAGCCAGCCTAACTACTTATGTTTCTTTTTTGAGGCAGAGTCTCACTCTGGCCTCTTATCTCACAGATATCTGCCTGCCTCTGTCTCCCCAGTGCTTGGATTAAAGGCATGTACCACCACACCTGACATCACTATCTTTTCTTATTTATACCATGTTAGCATCAAAACTTCTGTGGATTTTAAAAAATATTTTATATTTTGTGTGTGTAAGTGTATTACCTGCATGTATGTAAGCGTACCTGTGTCATGGAGGTCAGAAGGAAGTATCAGATCACCTGGAACTGTAATTACTGATGGTTGTTAGTCGCCATGTGGGTGCTGGGAATTGAACCCAGGTCCTCTGCAAGAGCAGCCAGTGCTCTTAACCACTGAGCCATCTCTCCAGCCCCCTTCTGTGGTTTTTATTGACTGTTGTACAGCTAGCTTAATATTCACTGTTTAAATAGATAAAACAATTAAATTTTTTTAATTAAAAAAAAGTCATTTAGAACAGGAAGAAGACAAAAATAACCATTCATGACCCCAAGTCAAAGCAGACCCACAGCCACCATGAACAGAAAAGGTCAATGTCTAACACAGCTACCTACCCTGTGCAACCTCCTGGGAATCCAGTCTATCCTCAGACCTTCCATCCTTAAGCTCCACCCCATACAGATGCTCCACCAGCATACTCAGAGCTCTATTGCCCAAGCTTTATTCATCCAGGGGCTGCCAAGGTCCCTACTATGTCAGCTGCATTTCCTGGCACCTCTCTAAATCTGCCTATGGCCCACTCTCTGTCTGTTGGACCTTTAGGTTCCATGATCCCCATGGCTTATTATCCAGTTGGTCCCATCTATCCACCTGGCTCAGCAGTGCTAGGGGAAGGTGAGTATGATGCAGGTACCAGATTTGGAGCTGGTACTGCTGCTGGCAACATCCCTTCTCCACCTCCTGGATGCCCTCACTGCTCGGCTTGCAGTCATGCAGGGAGCCAACATCCTTGTAACTCAGTGGAAGGGAAACTTCTTCATGGGTGGCTCAGATGGTGGCTACACCATCGGGTGAGAAAGCACGGCCACCTCTGCCGGGAAAGATAACACATACCTTCAGCACTTCTCACCGTGTAACTGCTTTAGTCATACTAACCTGAAGTTGCAATTTAGACACTTGTTAGGGTGTCTCTCTAGTACCCAAACTTTGAGGCACTTTTCAGATTTAACAAGGACCCATGTAAGGGTAGCAGTACTTCCCTAAAGCATTTTGAGGTGGGGGAGGTCTCCATTCATCAAATGAATGTGGATAAAGCAATCCTAAGTATCTTCCTTTAATTCCTCTCGAGTAATTCTGTACCATACTGGTCTTTGCTTTTAGTAATGAAACATCAAATTAGGTTTGGAGGGAACTTCAGTCTTCCTAAGAATTAAAGTTACCAAATTATTCTGATTGGTCTTTAATCTCTTTTAAGTCTTTGGTTTATTTTACTTGTTAAATGAAGCACATTAGTTTTCTGCCTTTTCCTTTCCATCCTCTGGCCCCTGTGCCCCTGTCTCTAGTCTTCCATCCCCTCTCATCAGTCTCCATTGAATCAGTGGTGCAGGACAGAAAGCCAGTCACGAATTTCCTTCTTCCTTCTTTCTTTGCACTTGTCCCACTTGCCATCTTTAAACTCATCTTTCACAAGGACCCTCTGCCCCCATGCCCTAAGCACAGACCCCATTTCTTCAGCTTTTGTATTTCTTCAGGCAAAAGTGAAGGGTGCCTTTTGGACCCTCCTCATAGATGTCTCTGCATCACCAATCTAACCCAAATTTGCTTTGGTGCCAGAAAAACTGAACTTTAAACAAAAACTATCAGTGTAAATGGTTCTGTAAACATTTCTTTAAAATACGATGAGCGGAGAAAGCATGCATGTCAAAGGCTGGATTTAGAGCCAAATGAAGGGGGAGTCTTCAGATGAAATTGGTTATCACTCTCTGAGTGTCTGATGCAGCCACTCAGGGCTTCCAAGAATTCCTAACTGGGTTAATAGGGTCATGTAAATGCCTCAATAGAAAATGACTTGAGTCCAGTGAAATCTCATTAGGATTAATATTTCAGGGATCCGCCAGGCATGGTGGTGCATGCCTTTAATCCCAGCATTTGGGAGGCAGAAGCAGGTGGATCTCTGTGAGCTTGAGGCCAGCCTGGTCTACATAGTGAGTTCCAGGCCAGCTGGGGCTGCAGGGAGACCCTGTCTTTCAAAAAGACCCCCCCATCCCCCAAATTTTTTTTCAGGGATCCTTAATATTTTGATTTCTGTTATCTGAAATTGGGTTTTCTTTCATTTTAACTTATAATTTCAGTTCATCTGAATCTTGTGTCCTGTATGTGTGATGTTTGACTATACCATTATTTTTTATGGGAGTTCAGCGTTGTATGTCTTTCTGTGCACTGTGGTACACTTAACTAGTGGATTTCATTTTGTAATCTACAACTGATCACCAAATGTTTGTGATAGTGATACTAGTGTTACCAGAGCCCTTGGCCACAATGACTTGACCCTGAGTCCAGTTGCTTGCCTGTGTAGAGAAAAAAGTGTCATAAAATATCTAAGATAGAGCCAGGGGTGGTGGTGCACACCTTTAATCCTAGCACTCAGGAGGCAGAAGCAGGTGGATCTCTGTGAGTTCTAGGCCATCAGGGCTTCAGGGAGACCTTGTCTCAAAAAGACCAAAAAAAAAAAAAAAAAAAAAAAAAAAAAAAAAAAAACTAAGATAGGAAAATTCATTTACAGTTGTGCCACAAAAGCAGAAAGCAGAGGGCTGTTCTGCATTGACTTGAACTTTCTCTTCCACTGTTACATTTGTAGAAAAAGCCAGAAAGCATGTACATGTAGATTTAGCCATAGGAAACTAGGATTGGGAAAAGGTCATTCAAAAAAATCTTTATTTTAGGGGTTTGCCATTGCATTAGTATTAGAGCTTGTGCTAGAGATTTATAATAGGAAATATACCCCATTCCCAGCAGCAGAGTTCCTAAAACTTGGAATATGTGTTAAGATCAATAAAAGTAAGTGGAGAATCTTTTTTAGAATAAATCCCTTTTTAATCACACCTGAGTTTATGTTAATGGAGAACTCTAAAGACTAGGGCTGGTTGCCATGAAAGGTAACTATATAACGAGAGTGTTGCAACTCTCAGCCCTTACCATTCTAGCCTCTAGAGGAGGAAGGCAATTTGAGTGAGGCAGGGGGATTGCTACAAGTTTGAGTCTAGCCTGGGCTACATAGTACATTCCAGACCAATCATGGGCTACATAGCAAGACCCTAACTCAAAGAGAAGAGGGCCTGGTAGTTGGCTGGGTTAATCACCAATGGCCAATGATTTGTTTAATCAATCATGCCCATGTTGTAAAGCTTTCATGAAATTCCCTAATTGAAGGGGTTTCGGTGTGCTGAAAAGAGAAGAGCTAGGGAGGTAGTGTGACTAGACAGGGCGCAGAAGCTCTGTTACCCTTCCCTAGCTTTGTCGCACAAATCTCTTCTATTTTGGGCATTCTTGAGTTGTGTCTTTTTTTAATGTGCTTGCATGTGCGTAAGTGCACTTGCACTGACCACAGAGAACACAAGAGAGCATCGGATCACCTAGAACTGGAGTTACCGATGGCTGTTAGTCACCACGTGGGTGCTGAGATTCTAACCTGGGTCTTCTGTAAAACAGCCAGTGCTCTTTTAAAATTTTTTATTTATTATTTTTATTTTATATGTATGTGTGTGTTGCCTGCATGTAGGTAAGTGCACCTGTGTCATGCAATGCCTGCGGAGGTCAGGAGAGGCTGTGGGATCCCCTGGGACTGGAGACAGTTGTTAGCTGCCATGTGGGTGCTGGGATTCTAACCTGGGTCTTCTGTAAAACAGCCAGTGCTCTTAACCGCTGAGCCATCTCTCCAGCCCTGAGTTGTGTCTTTTTATAATAAATTGGTAACACAATAAATAAACTACCTAAAAAATGATTAAATTTGAGGAAGGTATTTTAGAGACCTTTCATTTATAATCAGCATAGCTCATAATCTGGACTTGTGATTTGGTCTGAAGTTGGGTCAAGCTTCTGAGACTGAGCCCTTAATCTTATGAATAGTGTCAAATTGAACTGAGTTTTAGGATGTCTAGCTCATTTCAGAAAATAGCTCGATATGGGGGGAAATCCCCACATATTTGTTATCAGAAGCAAAATGTATCAATAAAAACAGTTGAGTTTTCCATTTATTGATGAAAGCCCTATATGAAAACTGGTCATTTGGAATGGAGCAGAGATGAATGAGTTGTTACAATAAAGTCTGGCCAAAGTACTGCTGCAGGAAGACCAAATTTAAATTTAGGAGGCAAAAAGTACTGAGATGAAATTCATAAGACTTAGAGCAAGTGCATACTTTCGTAGTTAGAGATTAATCCTTATTTCCCTGGGAATATTAAACTATGCAAGGTTAAGCTAAGACGTTTCTCAGGATCTCATGAATGAAGTCTGAGAATGAGTCTCTTGAATAAAATGTGACCTCTGGAAAGAGTAGGTATGGCTGGGATCCAGATCTAGCCCACACTATTACATAACAAGTTGTCTTTGTTTACACTTCTAGGAAACTTATGTTCGAAAGTTTCCGGACCTGGCTTTCTGGCATTTCCAACATTGACCTAGAACCAACCATTGACATGTCCTGTGCTAAATACGAATTCACTGGTAAGGAAGACAAAGCTTTAAAGCTGTTTAAGGTTTCAAGGCTTCAACTCCACAGAGATGTTCTCCATCAGTGTATCAACTAATTGTAACCTTGAAATCCCTGCATAGCATTAGGATCTTCTAGTAAGGACACAGCTCATATGCAGAAATAACCATCATATGGGAAAGGGTAGGGTACCAGTTACCTTTGGGAGTATGAGAGCTATTTATTGATCATTTTTTCAGAAAAATGCTCACAATCACCAATCTCACATACAATATTATAAAATTCAAAGGTGACACTACAAATTCACTCATCCTGTCTCTTGAACTTTCTTCAGTCTAGAACAGCTTCTTGGTCTTCCTGAACTTCCAGGATCTTGATGCTTCTGAAGATTTATAGATGAGTTGTTTTGTAACTCCCTCAATTTGGGTTTGTTTGATAGTTCCATGTGATTAGATTATTTGATTTAAGACATGCTTTTGGGGAGGAATGTTAACAGTTAGTGCTATGCTTTCCCTGCATCTTTGAGATGGTACAAGGTATCCCTGTGTCACATTATTAGTGATACTAATTTTGATGACATAAAGTAAGACTGAGGTCAGATTTAGCTGTTGCTTTGCCCCCTTCCCATCAGTATGCACTTTGTGGCAGATGCTTTTCTATGGAGGTTGGTTGGTTGGTTGGTTGGTTGTTGGTTGGTATATTTTGGTTTTAGGGCTGCTGGGGATTAAACCTAGGGCCTCAACTTGCTAGGTCAGCATTCTATCTCTGAATGATATCCTCAATCCTTTTTTCTTACTTTGTATATTGAGCCAGGTATCACTTAAGTTGCTTAGGCTGGCTTTGCACTCACTCTGTAGTCCAGGTAGGCCTTAAACTTGAGATTCTCTTATCTCAGACTTCTGGAGTAGCTGGGATTATAGGCCTTTGCCAGAAGGCCTCATTGAAAGGATTTTCTTTTCCTTTGCACACGCTGGGCAAGTGCTCTACTGCTGAACTGAGCTACATCTCCAGCCCTGAGAGAAACTAAGATTATGTCATTAAGAGCTGGGCATGGTATCTGCACACCTTTAATCCCAACTCTGTGGAGGTAGAGGCAGGGGGATCTCTATGAGTTCAAAGCCAATGTGGTCTATACTGTGAGTTCCAAGCCAGCCAGGGCAACAAAGGGGAGAAAAAAAAAAAAAAAAAAGATAATGTAATCATAACGTTTCTCACCAAACTTTGGATTGTTTTCATATGGTAATATTTCTTGCTAAGTGATTGCAATGCAGGTTGCCAGGTGGTGATTTTATAATGATGGTTTCTTCTGCTTTCATTAGTTACCATTCCACTGCAAAGAACTTCCTGCTCTTTATTCATCAGTTTATTTAATTGATAGGAGTTTGTGGATTACTTTTTGTAAATGTTTTATTATCTTATGTGTATGAGTGTAGTGCTTGTATGTAGGTAAGTGCATCGGTGGCACGCAATGCCTGCGGAGGATGGAAGAGGCTGTTGGATCCCCTGGAACTGGAGTTACAGACAGTTGTTAGCTGCCATGTGGGTGCTAGGAATCAAACCCGGGTCCTCTGCAAGAACAGTCAGCTATTACAGTTACTGTTATAATACTGAGATTTTTATTGTCTTTGATTTGGCCAAGGAGATCACCCTGAAGCTGACTTCTTGGTTCTTTTGCTATATTCCTATCATTCTTTTGTTTCTTACTTTCTGCAAAATGGGATTTTCTAGGCTTCTATTTTCCACACCCAGGTCTAGAATGACCTAGAGATGACCATTCTTCTGCTGAAGCCCGCCCATTTCCTTTTAGTCAAGAATTAGAGAATGACACTTAAAAATAAAGACCTAGGGGCTGGAGAGATGGTTCAGTGGTTAAGAACACTGTTCTTGCAGAGGACTCGGGTTCTATTCCCAGCACCCACATGGCAGCTAACAACTGTCTGTAACTCCAGTTCCAGGGGATCCGAGAGCCTCTTCTGTCCTCCAAGGGCATTGCGCACTTACATACATGCAGGAATAACACTCATACACATAAAATAAAAATAATAAAATATTTTTTTAAAGAAGACCTGTCTGGGTGTGGTGAAACACACCTTTAATCCCAGCACAGCAAGAGCCTGCCTCAAAAAAATCAAGGGCTTAAGAGATGGCTCAGCCAGTAAAAGCACTTGATGCTCAAGCATGGGGATCTTATTGGATCTTCAGCACAAACCCTAGATTTCTCCATTTCCTTGTGATTCCCTTCAACAGTTTGAAACCCAGCACCCATTATCTTCCAGTCCCTCTGTGTATACATGGTCCTTCATTCACTGTAGCCTTTTCTCCCTATCCCACCTTGCCTAGATGCCTGCCTTTCTCAGCCCTGCTAGATGGCGCTTAGAAATTTAGCTTAAGCAGTTACTAAGAACAAGACAAAATGATTGGACCAGTGAGATGGCTCAGCAGGTAAAGGTGCTTGCCACCAACCTGGCAATGTGAGTTTGATCCCTGGAACCCACATGGTAGGAGAGAACTGACTTCCACAATTTGTCGTCTGACCTCCACATGCCCTCCCACCTAACATATATTAAAGTAATGGGGTTTTTTTTTTTAGTTTTTTTAAAGAACAAAGGGATTCATTTGAATTGTTTTTGTTTTTGTTTTTTTGGTCTTTTTTGATCTTTTTTGTGACAGGGTCTCCCTGTAGCCCCAGCTGTCCTGGACCTCACTATGTAGACCAGGCTGGCCTTGAACTCACAGAGATCTGCCTGCCTCTGCCTCCCAAGTGCTGGGACTAAAGGTGTGCACCACCACACCCGGCTGAAGTATTCTTTATAATAGCCAAGAAATAGAAACAACTTAATAACAAGTAGGAACTTGGTTAAAGAAAAGGTAAATTTATAATCCATGTATAGTACAATAACTATGCGCCATTAAAAATGATGCCAGGTGTGTATATTAATGTGGAAGAACACTTACCTTGTAATAAAAAAAATGTCAAGCCACAGCAATCATTGTAGGAGTCCCTTTTTTTTAGGTAAGGTCTCAACGTAGCCCCAGCTGGCCTGGCTTTGTAGACCAGGGTGACCTCAATTTTACAGAGATCCACCTGCCTTTGCCTCCTGAGTGCTGGGGTTAAGGACATGCCCCATCATCACACCAGGCAGGATTCCATTTTTTTAAAGTGAATATACATAAATAAGAAAAATACTGAAATAACAAAAATATTGTTAGTAACTATATTGTAGACCTCTGTGTGTGTGTGTGTGTGTGTGTGTGTGTGTATGTGTGTGTATTCTTCATTGTTTTAGACTTTTCTGTATTTGTCCGAGCTTTCTGTATTTACAAAAGAGAAGAAATAAGTGCCATTTTAAAACTAGAGGTCATTTAAGCTGAAGTCAACATTACAGATAGACGCAGATGGATTGATTAACAGCAGCAGCAGAAAGCAGCTGCTCTTTGTGTATGCATCGAAAATATGCTTTAAATGATTTCAGATGCTCTGCTCTGCCATGATGATGAGCTAGAGGGCCGCCGGATTGCCTTCATTCTCTACCTGGTTCCTTCCTGGGACAGGAGCTTGGGGGGCACCCTGGACCTGTACAGCATTGATGGTAAGGCAGTTGCGTGCTTATTACCACCAGTGGCCACTTCTGAATTCCAACCAGTTGCCTCAGCATCACCATTCTTATATACAGTATGTGTATTCATCAAAGGAGATGGAAGCCATTTATCATAGTGACCACCACAAGAGCAATTAATGTTAGCCCTGACAATCACTTCTTAACACTCTATTTCAAATAATTATTACGCCAGAGACAGAGTTGATTTAAGATGACAAATAACAGTATCATGCTACTGAATACTGACCAAGAAAGGGTAGAAAATATGCAAAACTACCTGTGCCTATGAATCTGCCAATAGCAGATAGCCTATTTGATAAGAAATCAGGTTTTTTGAGTGGCTCACCACAGGTTGACTCCAGAAAAATCAGAACTACTCCAGCCCTCCTCAACAATAGATGATGTGATAAGAACACTTGTCAGCTAGCAGAACCAGCAAGTATGAGTGAAACAATTGGAAGGGGCAGTCTTTTAGGACCTGAAGGGTGTATCTATGTACTCTTAGAAATTTGAGGATTGTCAAGAGTAAAAATGAGGCATCCTGGTAGTGTTAATGATAATGAACCCCATTTATGGATGTGTTCTCTCCTGGTGCAGAACACTTTCAGCCGAAGCAGATTGTCAAGTCTCTTATCCCTTCGTGGAACAAACTGGTTTTCTTTGAAGTGTCTCCAGTGTCCTTTCACCAGGTAACGATTGTAAGCCACAACTACATAGCGTATTGAGGCTCTTGCTTTCTAGTACCCTTTGTCTAATTGTGGCAGCTTCCTCTTAGACTGGTTGTCTCACCAGGTTGCTTTCACACCTGGCTTGAAAGATCCTCACACTAATGTGCCTTGGCCAGTCTCTTCCCTCCTCATCCTTTGTGTTGATGTGCTCCTGGTCTTGCCCTTACAGGTGTCTGAAGTCCTATCTGAAGAAACGTCACGTTTATCTATAAGCGGCTGGTTTCATGGTCCTCCGTTAGCCAGGCCTCCCACCTACTTTGAGCCCCTGATCCCTCGAAACCCTCACATCCCACAAGATGTAAGGATAAGTTATTGGGATTCTTATCTTAGAAACTATAGCATATCAGTTTGTTTGGTTTTTTTTTTTTTTAATTTTATTATGTATGTATGTTGTAGGATTGGAGATTAAACCTAGGGCCTTGCACATGCTAACCAAGCATTCTATTGCTGAGCTATATATGTGACCTTTGTTTTTCTGATTTTAAAATTAGCTTTTCTAAATACCAAAATTAGACTTCAAACTTTTTACTTTTATTAAACTTTTTTTTTTTTTTGAGACAGCGTCTCTGTGTAGCACCAGCTGGCCTAGAACTGGCTACGTACACCAGGCTGGCCTTGATTTCACAAAGAGATACTGCCTCTGCCTCCCAAGTGCTGGGATTAAAGACATATGCCACCATGCCCAGCTTAAATTTCGAGTGTTTTGCCTGCGTGTATGTAAGGGCACCAGTGCCATGCAGTGCCCACAGAGGCCAGAAGAGGGCATTGGATCCCCTAGAGCGAACTGAACCTGGGTCCTCTATAAGAACAGCTAGTGCTCTTAACCACTGAGCCATCTCTCCAGACCCTAGATACACTTGATAGGGTTTTTCTCAGTTTTCTAGTACTTTATGCTAATAGGAAAAACTTAAAAAGTAAGGATGTGCATGTGTCTTATTAACGTGGAATGATGTAAGAATGAAAGCTATAGAGATTAATGGATCTCATCTATCTGCTGCTTCTTTGTAAGCATGAAATTTTGTATGAGTGGATCAATCCTGCTTATCTGGACATGGATTACCAAATGCAAATTCAAGAAGAATTTGAAGAAAGGTCTGAAATTCTCTTGAAAGATTTTCTTAAGGTAGGTCAACATAGCCTGTTCGATATTTTGTTTGACATGCACTCTTACCTGAATGGATGAATTGACACCACTAAGAGGTTTTGTTGGGGCTTTTTTTGCTTCGTATGTTTATGTCATTCTCTTCAAATAAAATACACAAATGGTAATAGTAAGCGTTAGTAATAGCTGTGTGCTTGGGTTAAGAGCCACTTGAGTATTCCCCTGAACTCTAGAGTCTTTTTTTTCTTTTTAATTTTTGAAACAGATTTTTAAAAAATTTTTGTGTACATATGTGTCTGTGTACATCTGTACACATGTGCACAGGGTGCCCCCAGAGGCCAGAAGAATGTGTCAGATCTGGAGCTGGAATTACAAGAACTTCTAAGTTGCTCACTATGAATGATGGAAACCAAACCCCAGCCCTTTTCAAGAGCAGCACACATTCTTAACCACTAAGCCATCTCTCCAGCCCAGGACTCTGGAGTCTTAATGGTCAGCAAATACACACAGAAGCCTCTGCCCTAAAAGGGAGTTGATGCCTATTAGCCTTTCTGTTCATTTGATGAATATGGTATTTATAACTTTTTTTTTTTTACTGCTTTTAATTGATCAACATTTAATAATGAATGTTTGACAGTGGTGAGGCAGTAGAAACAGAGCTGAAGTCAGAAGACCTGTATTTATGTCCTGGCTCTGGTTTCCCTAACCTGAGCAAAGCAGTCTCATTGGGCACTTATTTTATTATTGATCACACAGGGATAATATACCTGCCTTGCCTTTCTTGCAGAGTTGTTGTGAAGGCCATTTGAGATAATGTGCCTGATAGCGTGCTTCGTGAGTGCCATGGACTCATATTCCCAAGAGCTGTTCCTCCATGAAAAAAGGTGGAGGAATTCTATAAACTGGCTCTCTCAGATTTGGATAGCTAAGGTTGAAATATTACAGAATTTGATTTATTACACAATTATATTTATTTATTTGCCCTTGCTTAAATCATATTTTGGAGTCCTTCCTCTTTCACTTAGAAGCCAGTAGGAGCTAGTGGGACTCCCTGGGAAATCATGGTAAACAAATGTAAAGCCTCTTGGATATGTTTCAGTAGAAAGCCAGTTTCCTATATTGTACTTGACTGTGGAAAATTTGAAAGCTTGTTAAAGGCAAGAACTGGTACCAAGAGTCTGTATTATTATGTGGGGATGGTCATGGTAATGACATTAACTAATGCAGTTCAACCTTCCTCATGATATCTTACGAGTTGAAGAATTAGTGCTATGATTCTCATAAGTCTAGGAATTTGAGAAGATTAGCAATCTAACATAAGACGCACAACCACTAGCAGCTAGGGAGGTGGTTCAGTGGATTACAGAACATTTGTTCCGAAAGCATGAGGACCTGAGTTTGGATTTGTAGCAGCCATGTTAAAGAAAGGCTAGGCATAACCAAACACCTATAACCCCAGTGTTCTAGGGGCCAGGGACAGGAGGATTGCTGCGACTTGCTAGTTATCAGCTTAGTGGGGAGAGGGCTAGGGAACTACAACTCCAGGTTCAGTGAGGGACCCTGTCCCAGGAGAATAAGGTGGAAAGAAATAGAGGAGGACACACAGCATCCTCCCCTGACCTCCATACACACATGCATGAGCACATGTACCTGTGCACACACAAGTACACCCCTACACAAATAAGTAAGAACAAATTTTAAATAGCGATTCAAAAGATACACAACCCTAAAAAACATAAAAGATACATTTAATGGAATAGCCCAGAAGACATTCAGGTCTGTTGGCTAAAACAAGATGACAGTTCATCCATTCTGCCCTGGAGATTGTGTACGAAAGAGGTAACAGCAAACTGACCCTTTAGGAATCAGCTAGACTAGTAATCTGCTGAGCTGCTATACCCACCAGACCAGTAAGGGATTACAGGAAGAACTGCTAACTCCTTCTTTATTTGCTTATTTTCCAGCCTGAGAAATTTGCAAAGGTCTGTGAGGCCTTGGAGAAAGGAGATGTGGAATGGAGTAGTCGTGGTCCCCCTAACAAAAGGTAGAACCCACTATCACAGACATGTGCATCTGTCTCCAGCACCTACCCTTTGCTCTGCATAGCCCATCTCCAATACTAGGACACTCTCCCTAACATTTAGTTCCAAGGGACATCCAGGAGCAGCAGACCCTCACACAATCACGCCATTCTAATGAGTCATGCCATGATTTAGGGAGCAAGGTTCAACAGGAATGATGAGCTTTTATTCCATGAGTTAGTCCACATGTGGGGCTGATGAACTTGGTGTTGCTGCCTTTCAGGTTTTATGAGAAAGCTGAGGAAAGTAAGCTCCCTGATATCCTGAAGGACTGCATGGGGTTGTTTCGCTCCGAGGCACTGTTCTTGCTGCTCTCCAACTTCACAGGCCTGAAGCTTCACTTTTTGGCCCCTTCAGAAGAAGAGACTGAGGACAAAAAAGAGGGAGGGGCAGCCTGTGCTGCTGATGGCACTGAAGAAGGGACTGGCCAGAGGGCCTCAGAGCCTGAGAATAATGACGAAGCTGTCAGTAGCAGCAGTCAAGAGAACAGCGAACAGACCGACCCAGAGCCAGAGGAAGACGCAAAGAAAGGTAAGCTGGTGTTAGGACTTGCCTGTTCAATCATTTATCCATTCACCAAACACTTGATGAACATCTACTGTTGTGCTAAGGCCCACTTCAGGAGCAGGAAAACGAAACAGTGCTCCCTGGATCTCACTTTGTAGTAGGAGATGGCAGAAGTTAAATGTATGTACAAAAAACATCAAATAATGTGTCGTGTTTACACAGCATTGTAACATGGTCATGTGACGAGGAACGGCTGAGCAGCCTCAGGTGACTGGGTGATACAGAAAAGCCTCTCTGACAGCTGCTGCTTGCGCTCAGATCTGAATGACAAGATCTGCAGGAAGAGTGTTTTGCGGACAACAGCATTAGGCCAAGAATAGTACCAGTGATGGAGAAAAGGGTAACTGATGAAACAAGCATCAGAGCATAAAGGACAGAGCTTAGCAGCTTATTGCTCAGTAGGATCGGTAGACTGAAGAAAACTTGCTTGAATTTGGTAGCATAAGTAGAAAGAGATTACTATAACCAGATGAAGTTTAATCATCTGCAAATAGCATGGAATAGGGAATCATACAAGACCAATGTGTTGGAAGCACTCGCTTCATTGTACTTCATCTTAAGGACATATTCCACAGCTCAGAGTTTTGAAAACCACTGTTCTGTGATCTAATTTTGAATAATTACAAGCTGTTCGTCATATGATCTTCAGCAGTCCTGTGTGAAACATGTACTGTATTTCCAATTTTTCACTACAGTTGCTTAAAATAGCTTCTTAGCCAGGCGTGGTGGCATACGCCTTTAATCCCAGCACTTGGGAGGCAGAGGCAGGTGGATCTTTGTGAGTTCAAGGCCAGCCTGGTCGACATAGTGAGTTCCAGGACAGCTGGGGCTACAAGGAGACCCTGTCTCAAAAAAGACAAAAAAAAAAGCTTCTTTAAAGTTCAAGTGTGGGTGCGAGAAGAAGCCACTGAGGAGGTCAACACCATTGAGGAGAAAGATGACAGGGGTGGGGGGTACAGGGCCCAGCTTTTTATTACAGGAGGTGCAGGAACCCAACATTACGAACTTAGGTTGAAGTATGTAGGATACTCTGGGCCTCACATGCAGCTCTGAATACAGGACAGGACAGTAGTGTCCCCCTGGAACCTTCCTGCTCCTGCATAATAAGGAGGGTACCCCACATCTCTGACTGTGGAGCCCTGGTAGCTTTTTTCACTACTTTCATTTAATTCTTTTGGTGTCTTATGTATGTCAGTTCAATCACAGGATTTACAAGTTAAGTCTAGTGCCAGGAGACAATAGACATGCTACCCAAGAAGGCTACCAGCAAAACTGCAAAGTGCCCGAGAGGATACGGATTTGGCATCTGATGATGACTTTGAGTGCAGTGGCTCCACAAATGCCAGATTATAGAACAGACCATGATGACAGTGATGATGCCAGTATTTTATCGTCACAAGAAGAGGAACAGCTGAGACAAGAGATTCAGAAGATGTTAGAAGAACTTCAAGGGAGCAGCTTTATTCTGAAGACGCTCAGTTCAGTCTTTGTTTCATCAGTGGCAGAAAGATGTAATGAAATCTAGGAAAGAAGAAGAAAAATTAGCTAATATGAAAGTCCTTCAGGAGAAGCACAAATCTCTTCTTACTGCTGAACAAAGAGAAGTGGAAAAGGAAATGGAAAAATTGAAGAAAAATCTTATGACGGAAACTCAAAATCAAGATGTGGCAGCTGTTGAAACTGGCTGTCAATCTCTGCTGTTTGAGGGCCACGAAGAAAGGACGTGATCATACAGTATATGACAGGCATGGAACATTAGCTACAACTAACAGAAATGCTAATGGAAATCAGTACATCACATTTATCATTACTTTGTTACATAAAAGAGCCCATGTCTGCTAACCTTCAAGTGAATCCCTAAATAATTCCCCGAGCAGCAAAAATTACAAGAATGTAGACATTAAATGCCAGGCCCTTTGCAGGAAGAAATATGTCTTCTCCCCAACATAGGAAGTCAGATTTTGACAATAAAGATCAATTAATTTCATGTTTGGGTTCAGTGAGGATCTTTATCAGTACCCTATCCTGAACATTTTACATTTGTTTCCTTCAGGAAAGAAAATATGACAGTCTCTTTTATCTGTGCATTCTTTGTATTACGCATTAAGTCCTAGAAACAATTCCATTGCAAATATACCTTCAAAGTGAAATTAATTCAGTGTGCTTATAAAAATTATTGAATTTAGGGCTGGAGAGATGGCTCAGCGGTTAAGAACACTGGTTGTTCTTGCAGAAGACCCGGGTTCGAATCCTAGCACCTACATGGCAGCTAACAACTGCCAGTAACTCCAGTCCCAGGGGATCCAACAGCCTCTTCTGACCTCCGCAGGCATTGCGTGACACAGACGTACTTACCTACATGCAGGCAATACACACATCATAAAATAACAAATAAAAAATTTTTTAAAATTATTGAATTTATATTTAACTGATAGGAGAAAATTCAAATGCTAAAATGATTAAGAAAAACTGAGCAAAACCAAAATATTAGTGCTGAGCTTGGGATGTAGGTTTATGGCATTTATACAAAGTTTTTATTTAATTGCTTTATCTAGCAATTAATTGATGCCTGCCACAAGTATCAGTTGACAGCATGGTATTTACATAGAGGTATACGTAAATATTTATAATCTCAGTATTGCAGCTTTGTCTTTAATGATGTGTCATGTAGAATGCCTTGTTTTTCTAGTACAGTATTCACTGGGTAGAAAAGTATACACGCATGCTTTTAACTCTTGAATTGCTGTCTTAACTTTCTTATGGTATAATTTTTTACATTAAACAACAGACTTGCCTTTACTTGGAAACATTGTGTTTAATAAATTTGAAATTGTTTCATAATATGCCTCTGAAATATATCAAATAGAAAGTTGAATAAGCAAAAAAAAAAAAAAAAGTTCAAGTGCTCCATCAAAGACTCCTCAGAATTCTACAGCAGTTGTCCAGTTGTCCTCCCAGACTTGCATCAGTCTGCCATCCCTCTGGGGGACACGTCTTGGTAAACTAATTAGTTTTCTTTTCCACCTCTGCTTGTTCTGTTGATGTGCATGGCATTTGCCTTTCCATAACTGATGGTCTGTGGTTATAAATTTTCCTTGTATTTGTCTGCTTGATGTTCTTTCATGATTTAGGTTTGCCATGTCTTGCTGTTTATGAAAAAAAAAGTGTTAATCCTCTGTCCTACAGTTTGCTTTTTAATTACATTTGTCTTTTTTTTAACTTCATAATGTATTTTATGGTTTTGTTTTTCTTGTTTTTGTGGCACTGGGAATGGAACTCAGGACTTGCTGTGCTAATGAAGTATTCTACCACTTTACTACATCCCTAGACTCTAAACTTTATGTAATATTTTAGTGATCAAAACTGGGCATCATGATATACCTGTTCCCAGAATTCTGTAGTCTGACATTCCAGACATGAAGATTGCAAGTTCAAACTAGTCTGGACTTTCATAACAAGACCCTAACTCGTAAAAAAGGCAGGCACAAGGGGCTAGGTAATATAGTTCAGCGGTCAAGTGCTTGTTTAGCATGCTCAGGATCCTGTGTTGAAGCCTTAGTACCACCAAAAAGAAAAAAACCAAACTGTAGCAATCAGATCTGTCTCTGCCCTTCATGGTTTCTGCTTTAGTGGAAACATACTAAGAAATCTCTTCCCTGCTGTAGAACAGATAAAATTATACTCGGGGTTTATTTATTTACTCATTTATTTTGTGATATAATAATATAATGTTTCATCTAAAATTTATTATAAAGAAATTGAAACTCAACTTTCCCCCCACTAGAGTGTCAAACCTAGTAATTTCTATCACTTAGAAGACCAGGGGGTAGGATTGCAGGTCAGCTGAAGGTCTGCAGGACTGTCTTCCACAGAGCACCATATCCTTCCTAATCAGCTTTTCCTTGCAGTCTAGCATTTGTATCAAAATTGTAAAAGTTTTGCTGGCTCTTTTTCTGTTTTATTTCCTTAGACTCAAGTACTCCCACATGCCAAGGGGAACTGAGGCATTGGAACACTGGCCACTACACTTTAATCCATGACAATACCAAGACTGAATTTGCCTTAGACCTGTTTCTGTACTGTGGTTGTGAAGGTAAGAGGGAAGGAGGAAAGCAGTGAATAGTCTTCATGGTCAGGGCAGTCTCTAGAGGGACCTGTTCCAGTTGAACCAATTCAGAAGTATTTTGCTGTGACCAAGATTTCAGGTCACAGGATCTCACAGTTCCAAGGGATGTTGGGGATCATGACTTTCAGTCTCTAAATCACATGGGATTTATATCTGGGTATGAAAAAAATGAACCATGCCATAATTTCCCCCTAAGTCTCTCTTCCCACCCCACCCCCATGCACATACTACCACAGGGCCCATAATTTTTATGTAATTGCCTTTCTCAGTGTATCTAATATTTAATTATCTTAATTTCTTAGTCAGTATTGAGGTAAGCCTGAGCTCCAGTTCAGCTGTCTGAGAAATTATTCATTTAAGGGAAAGGAAATCCATGATAGCAGATGATCTCCTCCGAGCTCTGGGGCTGCTGAGACCAGAACCCTTGATATTACACGGGTGATGTAACTCTTACAGTGGGAGCTCAGTACTCTTTGTTTTTCTCTTGTCAGGCTGGGAGCCAGAGTATGGTGGCTTTACATCCTACATTGCCAAAGGTGAAGACGAAGAGGTAGGTGACTTCCTTCTGATAGCAAGTTCTTTAGCTCTTGAAAGACTATCGTTCATCAGACACCTGATTCTTTTTTTTTTTTCGGTTTTGGTTTGGTTAATTTGTTTTTTTGAGACAGGATCCCACCACTGTCTAGCCCAGGCTGGCCTAGACCTATCACCCTGGCTGGCCTCATACTTGTCATAGTATTCCCGTCTCTACCAACCAAGTGCTGAGATTACAGGTGTGAGCCAGGTGTGAGCCACCTTCCCAGCCAGAAACCCAAATTTTATTGTATCAGCCAGTGTTGGCCTTCTAATTCTACAAGAAAACACTCCGCCTGCAGTAAAGATGCTAAAGGAAAAAAATCACCCACCACTGTTATACATTACTAAGAAACTGAATTAAGAGGCTCACAGTTCATGCCTACTAACCTTTCTATATGGTTAGAATAAATACATTAGGTAAAACCCTTTTTAAAAAGTGTATGCTGGGGGGATAGAGCTTATTGAAAAATGTCTTGACAAACAGAAAATCTCATTTCCTAGTAAAGTTCCTTTCAAAGAGTACCCCATCCCCAACTTAAGTACTTGCTACGGAAATTTTTTCCATGGTGAATCATTGATGAGCTGAGAATGAGCTCTGTATTCTGATGTATCATGTGTTTCCTATTTCAGCTGCTGGTAGTGAATCCAGAAAACAATTCTTTGGCATTGGTCTACAGAGATAGAGAGACCCTGAAATTTGTGAAGCATATTAACCACCGCAGCCTAGAACAAAAGAAAACCTTCCCAAACAGAAGTGGTTTCTGGGACTTTGCGTTTGTCTATTATGAGTAACAGAACTGGGCAAAACTAACAAAAGTGACACTTCCTCAGTCCTGGGAAATCTGGAAGGAGAAATGTTAACTGACTGTCCTCAAATCTGACTCTCCTTGGACAGGTGTGCTAGCACATGCCTGTAATCCCAGCATTTGAGAGGCAGAGAAAGGAGTTCAGGGTCAGCCTAGGCTACATAGTAAAACTCTGTCTCAAAAACAAACAGAAACATGGGTCATCCTTTAATATAACTCGAGACTGTCCTCAGCCTAGACCTTGAGCTGGAGCTGTATACTTCTCTCTTGATTTACAAAACAAAGAAATTTTTTTTTCCACTGAATTCTTTCGCTTGTGTTTTGACTGCTTCAGCAACTTTTTTTTTTTAACTTTGGGATTTTTTTTTGTGTGTGTGGTAAAAAATATATAACATATAATAGTTTTTTGGTTTTGGGGCTTTTTGACAGGGTCTACTATGTAGCCCAGGCTAGCCTCAAATGACTGATTAGCCTCCCAAGTGCTGAAATTACAGGCATGGGCAACCATGCCCAGCCAGTTTTTATATGGATAGATCAGTAGAATTGGAAAAATTTCCAGTGTTATACAGCCATCACCATAATCCATAATCCAAATTTTTTCCATCTTCCCAAAGTGAAACCATGTGTCCATCAAACACCCTGTTCTCTGCTGCCCCTTCTCTCCCAGCCTCTTCTTTGTTGGCTATTCACACCCCTCACACATGGACCCATACAGTATTTATCCTTTGTGATTAACTTATTTCACTTAGCATAAAGTCCTTAAGGCCCATCAATATTTCCAGTGATTTTTCTTTTTCACTCACAAGTAGTTGTATATTCTGGCTTCCCAATCACACGGGTCTAGAAAGTTACAGAGTCCTAATCTTGTTTGTGCTGGGCTTTAGAGCTATGACACAATTTGAGTCATTACACTGCCCCCCACTGTCTGTTAGCCAAGTTCCGCCCTGTGTCAGGACAGGGTAAACATGGGGAGTGTTGCTCTCTAGGAGGTGGTCTGGCTGAAAACTACACGGCCCTAGGAATTCTGTGGCCAATGAAGAGGACAGGCTACTTACTGCCCCAGGTATTCACTTCTAAGTGTCTACTGCCTTCCAAACCTGGAGCCACTGCTTCTGTAGGTGAGGCTAGCCTCACATGTCCTGTAGGGTCCACTATAGAGCTAGTTGCCTTTCCTTTGTTTTAAAAGACCAAGTGTTAAAAAGCCCTAGTAAGAGGCCAAGATGCCACCCGCTTGCTTCCATTCTCTTCAAAGGGCTGGGACATAGCCCTACCATCATGGGACTGGACGGGATGGCTGAAAGACCATGTTCTTACCCCACCCCATGCTGTCTCCGTTTGTTCTATCTCTCGCTATCCCTGCAGTTTTCAGTGTGGAGTTTACTGATAGGAAAAGCACAGGACCTTTGAACTTCTTTCTCTTCTGTATCCTAAAACTCTTAAGTACTAATTTGCTTCTAGAGTTTGCATTTAAATAGAATGAATTTTTGTCTTTTAGGTTCATAGCTTCAATTTTTTCTTTAAATTAACACACTCCAGTCAGTAAAACACATTTTAATACATGGTCTAATATTTAAAAAGTTTTATGTGTTCTGATATTAGTGACAAAACAATAGCTTTTAAGTAATGAGATAAAAATATACAGACCACAGCTCTGGGTGGTGGCATACACCATTATCCCAGTACTTGAGAAGCAGGAGCAGGGGGATTGGGAGTTCTTGACTGTCCTCAGCTACATAGTGAGTTCAAAGCAACCTAGGAAACATGAGACCTTTGCTTGAAAAAAAGAATATCCAGACTTCATTCTAGGTCTAGTATGGCCTTCTATACCCACAGATCATATGCACACTGTTTTACATACACAGATTTTCAAATTCAGTAGATACTCAGGTGGAACTACATATATTTTGTTGCTAATGGTTAACTTTGAAGCTTGCCTTTTCTACATTGCTACAGATTCAAGGTCATCTCTATCATATTACCTTTATTCTAAACTTGTTTTTGTTTGGGGCACTCACTGGGAATCAAACCCAGGAACTTGGTCCACCACCAGCCCTCCTTGATTTCTTTTTCTTGGTTTTTGTTGTTTTGGGTTGGTTGGTTTTTGTTTTTTTAGACTTTGGTTTTTTGAGACAGAGTCTCTCTGTAGCCCCAACTGGCCTGGAACTTGTTATTTAGACCAGGCTGACTGTCATCTGAGATCTGCTTATTTCTGTCTCCCAAGTGGTGGGATTAAAGGTGTGCCCACCTATGCCCAGCTTTTCCCCTGGCTTTTTTATGTGTTTTCCTGAGTAGGGGAGATAGTTAACTAACCTTGTCAGTAGATTAACCCTAGGAAGACCCAAGGAAAAGTGCTGCATAGGCATGCCATGCTTGGAAAACAGTTTGAGACTTTCAGGACCCATATGGCTCTTAGCATCACTAAGGCCACCGAGCTTCTTCATCTCTGGAGATTTGTCTAAATCTGAAGCTCTCACCCATATGTAAAAATATGCCTATTAGTTTCTTCTTTAACTTCATGTGTTTATGATCTTTTACCACCACAGAACCTTTATAATACTGGATTTAAGTGCCTGAGGGGAGAGAATCCCGAAGAACCCCACTGTCATGTCTACAGTGTCTCTTGGTTTGTGGAGGGTGATGTTACAGGTTGCTTTTCTGCTCTAATGACATTCAGTGACTGAGAAGCTGCTTTTTTTTTAGTTGTCATGTGCCACATTATTGATGTTTCAAAGACAGATCACATATTCAAAGACAGTTAGCCCATAAGACTGCAGTGGAGCTGAAACATTCCTGCAGCCCAGTGAGGTGTTGCCTCTGTGGTCCAGATCACTGCTCACATTTGTAGTGCTGCTGGCTGCAGAAGCACAGCACATGCGCTGTGTACAGTACATAACCACTGAACAAATGCCACTGCTTTATGCACACTTTAGACTATTATCCTTGCTTTAGAGTATACTTCTGTTAAAAAGCAGTCGACTGCAGCTGGGGGTGGTGGTGCACGCCTTTAATCCCAGCGCAGGAGGCAGAGGCTGGCGGATCTCTGTGCGTTCAAGGCCAGCTGGGGCTACAGGGAGACCCTGTCTCAAAAAGACCCAAAAAAAAAAAAAAGTCAACTGTAATACAGTCTCAGGCAAGTCCTTCACAAGGTATTCCAGAGAAAGGCATTGTTACTGCCCCTGAAGACTACAGTGGGACAGAATGTATAGGTGGAAGACAGTGATGATGATGACAATCATAATCGATGTGTAGGCCCAGGTGTGTGTGCGCGCGTGTGAGACAAAAAAGTTCTGAAAGTTTAAAGAAATGAATTTTGAAGATAGAAAGTAGCTTAAATATAAAGGAAATATTTTTGTGCAGTTATATATTTTAAGCAAAATGTTATAAGTCAAAAGCTATAAAAACTGAAGTTATAGAAAGCTAAGGTTATTGAAGATAAAGTATTTTTAACATGCATACGGGTTTGGAAGCCTGAGAGCTACCATCTGATCTGTACAAGTAATGTATTTGCACAAGGAACTTGCCTCAACTTATGATACTGAGCTTCATTCTTGATCATGACTGCTGTGTTCTTCTCTGTATGATCAATGGCATCGTTCTCTTAATTGTTAATACTGAACCGCCAATCCCTTGTTTTATTCACTTATTTATTGGTGTTTTTGGCACAGGGCCTTGCTGTGTCTCCCTTAATTCCCCAATTGCTGAGCTTGCAGCTGTCTACACCACCATGCGCAGTTGCAGACTTCCAGTTCCTATAACTCCCTTTAGTAAAGGAAGATTTTTCTACCCAAAGATAATAGCTTTATCTTTTCACAGTATATAAAATATTGCATGTTTATTTTTGAGAAATTAAAGTAGAAAAATATATACAAATGTTAGCCGAAATCCTACCGCCCTGTTACAAACACTTAGAGCTTTGTAATGTGTGATGTGGCTAGCCTGCACTTGTTTCAGGGAACGACCCCTTTTCTACTGTGCTGGGTATAAACAAATACAAGGCCCTAGAGCAACCTTGTCAAACAGGGCTCCAAGGGAGAGACTGAAGGTCGCTATTACATGTAAAGAATGTGAAAATAGTTATCTCAGTCATTTTCCTTAAGCTTTTCTCTTTCAGGATCCTTACAAATGAAAATAGTCAATGATGAATTTTAAGATACTCCAACTCACAGATCACCCTTAAATTTGTTCTTCCTTAATATGTTTGTTTATACACACCTTCCAATGATTAAAAAGAAGGTACACAAATTGAACTGAATGTCTACATTTTTGTTTTTCCCCACAAAATAAATAAAAATGTTTTTTGCACTTCTGCTCTGGTGGTGATTTATAATCGATCAATAGAGAACAGCATCTTTTACCTTTAATGAAAAAGTAAATACTGTTTCAGAATTTAAAATTCAATTACAATTTCAAAGAAAAAAGATAAATTCATATACAAACTTTACATACAAAAAAAGTCAGACTGTGAGCACCTGCTATTTTAAGGTATTCACAATCCATAGGGTCTAGTGTTACTCCACAACAGTACTACTGATGGCCAGTGAAAGAGACATTTTCAGATGGAATGCCTTGTCTTTAGTGTGTCTCACTCACACAGCTGTTTTCATTCCTGGGTCACCAGGATGTGAGCCAGAGCAACCCAGGCTGGATTTCTGAGGAGAAACCTTGTGCAGGAGTTTCCTTCCGTCTTTTCTCCTCTCCTAAGAAGGAGCGGTCCCAACCCGCATAATTCTGAATAGCGTATTGATGTTGTTGCTTCGGATCGCGTCCCGACATGCTGTGATCACCTGGTTCTTCGGCCTTCCAACTGTATGAGAAGAAACATAAGTCAATATGTCCCAGAGATGGTTAAAGGGGAAATGAGACATTAAAGGCCAGTGTGAAGACAACAAAACCAGAGTAGAAAAGTTACATATGTAAATTTTACTAATTTAATGATCCCTAGGAAAGATACCTTGATGACAGAATTTATCACAAAACAAATTTGGAGATCATCTCAAACTAGAAACCAAAAGTAGCTGTTAACAGCTCACATCCATCTAGGAAGCCAGAAACCAAAAGCAGGTTTATAAAAATGAATCAAAGCTCATCTCCCCTAGCAAAGATTGCTTCTAAAGTGGTCAAAGCACTGACCCAAAGAGCAGAATTCAGGCAGATCTGTGGCTACGTTTCTGCTTCCTATGGTTTTATCCTGTTATTTCTCTAAATTTTTGTTTGTTTTTGGTCTTTTTGAGACGGTCTCCCTTATAGCCCCAGCTGCCCTGGAACTCACTGGGTCTACAGGCTGGTCTTGAAGTCACAGAGATCTGCCTGCTTCTGCCTCCCAAGTGCTTGGGATTAAAGGCATGCACCACCACACCTGGCAATTTCACTTGCCTCATTATCTAATTGGGGCCTTTAAGGCTTTTCACTTCCTTTGGAATATAAACACATTTTTCTTTAGAAGATGCAGCAAGATCTTAGGAAAGAAATTGAAGGTGTTATTTCTTTAATAAAAAAAAAAAAGAAAACTAAAGCCAAGCCCTAGTCTAACTTATGGAAACTCAGGTGATGTGGCCAACTCTGAAGTATTAAAGGAATACTGCTTTAGACTCCAGTAGAAGTTTTTAAAAATGCAAACACCATCTTCAGCAAGCCTCACCTTTTCAAAAGAAATCACAAATTACAGCACTGGGAAAGGACTCACCACGCAGACGACCTGCTCTTTGAATTGCTTGATTCACCGCCTTCAGGTTTCCTAACAGTTCTGTGTGGTTGTTACAGCGAATCTTATATCCATTTAGTAAATCTTTATTAAGGTCATAGAGTTCCATATAGCGATTCTTCATTGTTTTCCTGTGTAAATCAATAAAAGCCCAACATTAACACTAAACAGACTTCTTAGACACATTAAAAAAGAAAGCAGGCAGGTGTGGTGGCTATTAATCTATTAATCCCAGCACATGGCTGGCTGAGGCAGGAAGATTGCAAGTTCAAGGCCAACCTGTGCTATTATACAGTGAAAACAGTGACTCAAAAGAACAGGAGGAAGGGTTTTTGTTTGTTTTTTTTTTAAATACGGGTAATTAAGTTTGCTTTGAAAACATCTAGAAATTTCCATCAGAATATACTGTTTCTTATGGCTGGAGAGATGGCTCAGTCTATAACTCCAGTTCCAGGGAATCCACACCCCCTTCCTACCTCCTCAGGCATTGCACAACACTTACATACATGCAGGCAATGTATTCATACACAAAAAAATAATTTTTTAAAATAATCTATTTCAAATAAATATAAAACAAGTGATCTTTCCTCGCAATTGGTCCATGGTTTGTTTGGATTTAAAAACCTCCTATGCTGGAGAACAGAAAAATTAGCAAGGTGCTAGCTATCTTTCAGGTTTTAAATTAATTCATTAGAGAAGAGCCCTATTAATAAAGTATTTCCAGACAATAGAATCAGCCTCATATTTTAAAATATTTTATTTTTATTTTATGTGTATGAGAATGCATTGCCTGCATGTTGTACAATGCCCATGGAGATCAAAAGAGGGTGTCAGATCCCCTGGAACGAGTTATGGACAGTTGTTAGCTAGCATGTAGGTGCTGAGAATTGAACCCAGGTCCTCTGCAAGAACAGCCAGTGCTCTTAACCACTGAGCCATCTCCCCAGCCCCAGTCTCATATTTTGCAAAGGTTTAAAAATAGCATGGGTGGGTGAGATGGCTCTGAAGGGAAAGGTTCTTACCACTAAAGACTTGAGTTAAATCCCCAGAACCCATATGATGCAAGAAAAGAACCAACTCCCAAAAGTTTTCCTGTCCTCCACATGTGTGCAGCAGCATACGCATGTGCTCACACATGCACACATTAAAAAATGCAGAAGATTGTTTAATACCACAATGAAATACTGCTACACAATAATGTAAATGACTTAAGTAAAAACTGAAAATACCAACTGCTGAGCCACTGGAACACCACACATTGCTGAATACAAAATAGCATAGTTACTTGGGAAACCTGGCAGGTTATGAAGCATGCAGCTTCCAGACTTTTTGTTTAAAGAAATAAAACCTTCAGTTCCTTTTTAAAGATCTTGTTGCATACTTACGATATAATCTCCAAGCCATCAATCCTATCCCAAAAGCAGTGAAAATGCATATTTGCAAAATGCAGTATGCAAATATAATGCAGCTTGATTCAGACACCAAAGAGGTGCGTCGATAAAGCAGCTATCCATATCTCTATGATGACGTGCTATGTAGCAGTAAAGAATGACTAAACTATGGATGTGCAACAATATGGATAGACTTCAAAGGCACAATGGTGGGTGACAAAAAGCCAGACTCAAAAGGTTATATGTGGTATAAGGATACTGGGAAAAGGGTAAAGCTAGAGAAGGCCCTGCAGATGAGGTAAGTACTGATACAAAGGCCCAACAGTCATAAAAACACTATATTTTGATTTCAGAAGCAGCAACACAATCATAGGAGCTTCTCAAAATTTATTAAACTGAGCCTAAGTATTGTCTGTGCTTCATATTGTGTCTTCCATCACTGTAGTTTTATTATTGAACACTTGATTTTTGTGATTTTATAATATGCTACTTAAGTTTTTCCAGATGTGCCCTTATGTGTTTTCTGTACACATACTATATACTTAGTGTCTGCAAGGGAGATATAAATAATTCAGGAAGCCTGGTCTACATAGTGAGTTCCAGGTCAGCTGGGGCTAGAGGGAGACCCTGTCTCAAAAAGACCCCCCAAAAATAAAAAAATAAAAATGATTCTGGAAAGAAAAGAGCATGGAGGTGGGTGGGCATTCTACTCCAGGAGGCTAACACTGTGCAGCTCAAGTACTTAAGGCCATCAACATCTTTCTGACTTAAAAAAAAAAAAATCAAAGGGGGCTGGAGATGGCTCCACAGTTAAGAGTGGGTACTACTCTTGCAGAGGACCCAAGTTCAGTTCCTATATCTGGTGGTTCACAACTGCCTAAACTCCAGCTCCAGGGGATCCAACACCCTCTTCTGTTCCATGAGCACCTGCAGTCATGTGCACAAAGCCACATACAAACATACACACATGCATATAATTAAAAGGCAAAAATAGGGGCTGGAGAGATGGCTCAGAGGTTAAGAACCTCTAGTTGTTCTTGCAGAAGACCTGGGTTCATATCCCAGCACCCACATGGCAGCTAACAACTGTCTGTAACTCCAGTCCCAGGGGATCTGATGGCCTTTTCTGTCCTCCATAGGCACTGCACAACACAGGTGCAGTTACCTACATGCAGGCAATACACACATACACATAAAATAAATATAATAAATATTTTAAAAAGTAAAAATATTTTTTAAAAATCAGAGAAATAGAAAAATAAGCTAAGAGACCTGGAGGTAGTTGGCTATCGAACACAAAAATCCATTTCAATTTATAGATGATACAAGGGCACATCAGGGAAAACTTAAGTATATTATAAAATCAAAAAAATCAAGTGTTCAATAATAAGACTACAATTATAGAAGACACAATGTGAAGCAAAGATAATATTTACAATAAAAGAATAGAAAATACCTAAGCATAAACTTAAAGTGGAAAAAAGGACTACAAGAGAGTTGTTTTTTTTTTAAAGAAAAGACGGGCTGGAGAAATGACTCAGCAGTTAAGAGCGTGGCCTGCTCTTGTAGACAACCTGAGTTCAGTTCCCAGCACCCACATCAGTCAGCTCACAACTGCTTAGTAACTCCAGCTCTAGGGGATCTGACACCTCACCTCTGCTGGTACCTGCACTCACATGCACAGACACACATATACATAGTTAAAAATGAGGCAAGTAGATCTCTGTGAATACAGAACAGCCTAGTCTACATAGCAAGTTCCAGGCTAGATCCTCTGGGAAACCCTGTCTGAAAAAACATAAAAATAAAAATAATTTTTTTTTAAAAGTGTCCTAATTTGTTTCTCCATTGCTGAGACAAAACATTCCAACCAATACCAACTTTGGCTTACATCTCCTGGGTCACAGTTCATCAGGGAGCCCAAGGTAGGAACTCGGCAGAAACTTGGAGACAGGAGCTGGAGCACAGGCTGTGGGGGAACACTACTGCTTACTGACTTGCTCCCCTGGCCCCTGCTCAGCCTGCTTTCTTATGCAACACAGGCCCAGGGATGGCACCACCCACAGTGGGCTGGGCCCTCCCACATCACACAACAATCAAGAAGATGCCTCACAGACATGGTCACAGGTCAGTTCAATGGAGGCAATTTCCCAATTGAGGCTCCCTCAACCCAGGTGTGTCAGGTTGACACTAAAGCTATCCAGCACAAAAAGAAAGCCAAAAAAAAAAAAAGGCTTTGAAATGTCCGGAATCTATATGAAGAAAGCCTTAGAGTCCTCTTGAAAGAGAAAAACGTGACTGGAAAAGAAACGTGACAGGCACAGGAAGACATACCACTATATAGTCTTGGCCAATAAAACATAGTTTAAGCCAGGCGTGGTGGCACACGCCTTTAATCCCAGCACTCGGGAGGCAGAGGCAGGTAGATCTCTGTGAGCTCAAGGCCAGCCTGGTCTATATAGTGATTTCCAGGGCAGCTGGGGCTACAGGGAGATCCTTTCTCAAAAAGACAAAAAAACAAAAACATAGTTTAATCATGTCAGTTCTTCCTATTAGTAAATTTAATATGATCAACAAAAATGGAAATACTTTTTGAAAAGCCAGAATGCTCTGACTCCATTTGGCTAGCTTCTTCAGACAAGCCCGGACAAGTTCAGGCATATTGTAAATCTTCTCAGTTGCTCCCCAAGCTATAAATTAAGCAAGCCCTGGACATGTAAAAGCCATATAAGGTATGAACAAAAACTTCTGGCCCTAAAAGATATCAGTCAGCATATTCCAATGCCCTGAAGACAGCCCCTACCAATCAAGACTTCCCCCATACTCAGAATATGGGGACATCCAATTATTTTAAAAGATGCTTGGCGGGCACAGGTGTCTGTGGAGTTCCAATAAAAGCTCCTGCCTGCTATTGTTCCGGGCCAGACTCCATCTTTGGCTTGTGTAGTCTGTGCCCGGCTAGCCACCATTTGGTTGTTTTTACTTTAAATTCCTGAATAAACTTTTTGTATAATCTTTTTGGTATCTGTGGGAATTATTCTTGATTCTCGAACCCTAACACTTTTGTCTCCAGAACATCAAACACTGAAGTTTCAAAGAACAAGCAAGCAGAAGTAGCTGTGAAAAGGCTGAGTGAGGCACAGGCCTGTAACCTCAATATAGAGAGGGATATGGCAGGAGGATTGTGCATTTGAGTCCAGCCCTTCAAAAAAAGCTACCAGAAAAAAAAAAAAAAGAAATACTGTATAATCCTGCAGCCTATATAGAGTTATTTGAAATCACAATCTTTAAAAGATATGAGCACCCTCATGTTCAAGTAGCACACTTCACAACAGCCAACATGCACAAATCTGTGAAATGTCCATGGGCACATGAAGAGATAAAGACACTTAGTAAACAATGAACTACTATTCAGCCTTTAAAAAGGAAATTCTGAAATGCAACAACGTGGATGAACCTTGAGGATTCCATGCTGAGTGAAAGAAGACAGTCACATAAAGACAAATACTACATGATGCCACTTTTGTAACCGTCTATATGACAGCCAGAATTGATACAATCAAAAAGTACAACGCTGTCTGCAGGGGGCTGGGGAGAGGAAATGGGTAGTTATTAATCAGTGTATCCATGTGTGCTTTCCAAATAGTATAGTTTTGTCAAACTGCATGGAAGCATGTAGTACACGTTGAGCCTTTCAGTCTCCAGTACGTCTGTAAGCATTCTCCAGGTTCTGAGTGTCACAGAGGCCCATGCACTCTCACTGCTCCACTGTATGACTCTCATAACTCATCCACTACACACTGGATTTCCACTTGGGGATTTTCTGTGCTTTGATATGGTTCAAGTGTGTCCTTTAGAGATTATGTGTCAAAAGCTTGGTCCTCAGTGTGGTAATGTTAGGATGCAGCAAGCCCTTCAAATGGTGGTGCCTAGTACAAGGTTACTGGGTCATGAAGCTGCTGCCTTTGCAAGAGATTAAGGTAGCTCTCATGGGACCCTGGTTAGTTTTTCTCAGAGGAACTGCAATAGCAGTACCGTGAGTCTTCTGGCTTCCAGTCTTGCTCTGCAGTCTCTTGCTCTTGCATGCATTCCTGCCATGATGCCATCCACTATTAGGAAGGCCCTTACCGGAACCAGTGCCACACTACTTGGATTTTCAGCCTCCCAAAACTAAATAAACCACTTTTCTTTATACATCACCTAGCCTTGGGCATTTTGCTGTAGCAATGGAAAACAAACAAATGCAGGATTTTTATAAATAATGCCTTTCTGGGTATTCTTGTATAAATATCCTGGCTTATATGTGCATATATGTACCTAAGTTTCTCTGAGCTATACACTGGGAACAAAACTGCTGAGTCAGAGAGTATATATATTTTCAACTTTAACAAAAATACAAAGTTATTTTTCAAAGTCACTGAATCAATTTAGACTTGACTAGCAGCACCTGAGAGTCACTACTCCATATTACTCACTGTTTAACTTTGCACCCATTCCAGTGACGGTAAATACTCACATGTCCCTCATCAGACGAGCATCCTCAGCACGAACCAGCAAACTGCGAATCACATTAGAATTATCAGCCATGTCAGCACTGAGCTTTTGATGCACTGAGTGGTATTCATCCACCTGGAGATCAAGAACACCCAGGAATTAACAAGAGAGCCTCGCAAACATCTTGAGAACTGGAAGAACCAAGAACATGCTGCCTCCCATTCACGGAGTGCCTTGCACTTCCCCTGTCCACTCATACCATCCTTGAAATATTTTACTTATTATTTTTTTATGTGTGTGAATGAATTGCCTGTATGTATGTAAGCGCACTGTGTCATGCAGTGCCCATGGAGGTCAGATCCCCTGGAACTAGAGTCAAGGACAGTTTTTTAGCCTCCATATGGGAGCTGGGAACTGAACTGGGTCCTCTGCAAGAGCAGCCAGTGCTTTTAACCTCTGAGCCAGCTCTTTAGCCCCAACTCATACCATCTTAACTACCTCCTATTTCATCTCCTCCTAACAAATCATCTGTGCTACCGTCAATGATGACACTCCAGGAGGGAAGACCTTCCGTCTTGAGCATCAAGAGCCCCAGCCAAATACATACTAATATTTTAGGGGTTTATAGTGGGAATGATGGGGTTGTTTTGTGAGGTACGGGGGGTGGGTAGAGAATGTAGTGTGAAGACTGACTCTAGGGCATACACAGCAAGCTCTACCACTGAGCTATGGCCCTTGCCCCAAGGATGATGCTTTCTAATGCAGCCAAGCATAATCCTCCTTAGTTGGCTTTATTATTTTGAATTTGGGTTTGGGGACAGCAATGAAGTCGACTAAAGAAATACAAGTAAGATGAAAATAGAGGAGGATATGACATATTTTAAAAGCATCCACCTTATGTCCAAAGAGCAGGTGGTGGTGAGATCAAGATAAGCACTCGTTTCTACAGAAGAAAACTCCGATGCTCTTGTTTTTACAAAAATTCTTAGAACATGGTTATCATGTGACATAAATACATGTACATCCTTACCCATTTTCTAAGAAATATTTCCAACTACGAGACAATCCTGTTCACAAATGCCCTCACCTTCACCAGCACCTTTCGTAATTCCTCAAAGTAGACAGGGAAATCTGCTTCTACCTGAAGGTCTTCAATAGCAAAAAAAGATGCCATTGACTGGATAATATCACCAGCCAAATCAATATCATCAGTATTCACAGTGATCTACCCAGGGAAAAAACAGACAAGTTTAGCATCCTCACAAGGCAGGCTTAGCTAAAACAGCACCTGAACTTTTCCATTCAACGCCATTCCTGAGCTTTATTTAGATGTGTGATGAATGAAGTAAGGCTGTCTTTTAGGAAATTCTAAACCACATTCATAATTTCTTGAGGGAGGCTAAAAGGTTACTCCTTTTTGTCTTACAAGCTAAATGGCAAAGCTGTTCAAACTGAAAATGTTTCTGTGCCAAGTGTCTTCCAAACCCCCTAACCTCCCAAGTAACCAGGACTACAGGTAAAGACCAGTGCACCTGGTTCTGTAATGGGGAGTGGGGAAAACAGCAAACAGCCCAAGTAAAACCACTGTTCCTTGACAAAAGCTACAAGGTAAACCATTTCCAACAGAGGTTGCTGGTGTTTATCCAGCTGACTGCCTAACTGCCCTAGTCTATTTCTGCTGGGTGTTTGTCAACCCGGATGTGATGTTAGCTCTGCTCTCACTCGGGCTACTCCAAGCTGGATGCTGCAATCTGACTTCATGACTTCCTGCTATCTCTCTGCGGCTTCTCTGCTACTTGCTATTTATTTATTTTTCTTTCTTGCTACAATACTTAATAAACGCAGGGCTAGAGAGACGGCTCAGCAGTTAAGAGCACTGGCTGTTCTTCCAGAGAACCTGGGTTCAGTTCCTAGCACCCACATGGTGGCTAACAACCATCCATAACTTCAGTTCCAGGGGATCTGACACCTTTTTCTGGCCTCTGCAGGGCACTGCATGCATGCGGTATACTTATATACATGCAGGCAAAACACTCATACAAAGTATAAATAATAAATATATTTTAAAAATACTTAATAAACCCACTCTTTTCAAACCAAAACCACGGCTGTCATGGCTACAGCAGATAAACACAGCTATTGTGACTATGGTGGTCATCCTCCCGAGAATTCACCATTCCTTCCAAACAGTGCCCCTCTGTGATCCCAACTGTCATATTGGTTTTCATTGTCAACTTGACAAAATCACCAGGAAAGGGAGTGTCAGTGAGAACTGTCTGGTCTGGCTGGCCTATGGGCATGCCTGTAAGGGATTTCCTTAGTTAACTGAGGTGGGAAGACCCACCCTGCAATGTGACTGGCAGCACTTCAGGGCCGGGCCCTGACTGAATGAAAAGGAGAGCAAGCTGAGAACTGGCATGCATTCATTGCCTCTGCTTCTGGATTGGATGTAAGAGACCAGCACCTTGAACCATGGTGACTTCCCTACAGTGATGGGCTGTGGCCTGGAACTATGAGCTCAAATAAACCTTTTTTCCCTAGGTTACTTCTGTCAGGAAATGAACCTAAGACACCAACCCTTCCCAAATTATACAAGGGAGGAACAAAAGGAAAGAGTGCTGTTCTAGAATGAACACCAGAGTCTGCAGTGATAATACAGACAGGTTGAAACACTTGGTTATGTGATCTTGACAGTAGTGTCAACTACCCCACTTTGCAACAGAATGGTTAAACAGCTCAGGAGAACTCTGTGCCTGGCATCATATATTACCTCACCACTTTGTTTTATTTTTATGTAGAGCTGGCCACCATTCCGTAAGGATGTGAAACACACTTGAAATGGAGCATTCTGGATGTTAGTGTCTTCTGGCAACAGAAAGTTTTGGTTGATCCATGTGACCATCTTAAAAATGAATAGAACAGAATGTATTTTAATCTTTAAAATACAGTCATTGGGGCTGGAGAGATGGCTCAGCAGTCTCAAGCTGCTCTTGCAGAGGACCTGAGTTCAAATCCCAGCACCCAAATGGTGGTTTAACAACCATCTGCAACTCCGGTTCTATGGAATCCGACACCTCTTCTGTCTGCCATGGGTACTACACAACATGGATACACTTACATACATGCAGGCAATACATCCACAGACATAAAATAAGAACACATTTTAAAAAAATAAATACATTCATTATGGAAAGAATTCTTCCTCTCTATAGTTTTACAGTTTCGTCACAAAATTATCCCTCACCCCCCACCAAGTGAACCCTCCTTGTTCCTGGTGTTGAACAACACTCATACTTAGGGCTGGTCCCACAGCAGGCACAGTTTTACAGTATGTCTTAAGTCATAGTCTTACATGTAATGTACAGAGGACTGACTGAATACTAGAAATAGTAGAATGCTATTTCTGTTTACCTGACCTCTTTTCTGTAGGTATAGCCTAGACAATATTGTCTCCATATTCCATTCTACCATTGAATTTTTTTTTTTGAGACAATCTCTCATTATGCAGACCAAACTGGCCTAGAACTGAGAGACCTGTCTCTGCCTCCCAAGTGCTGGGATTAAAGGTGCGCACCACCACACTCAGACTGTTTAATTTTTTAAAATGAAGAATACCTGTGCACACCCACAGATAGAAGTTACCTGCACACAGTTTTAATGTTAATACTTTACAGTGATTTGCAACCCACGTTCCAAGTGAGAATTATAGCTAAGGCCAATCAGAAGGGTCCACAGGCTGAACAGTAATCTAAGAGTCTATATAATTAAAAGCCTCATGAAGAATTCTGAAGCCGAGGGCCAGGCATGGTAGCATATACCTTTAGTCCCAGTACTCAGGAGGCAGAGACAGATGGATCTCTGTAAATTCAAAGGCAGCCTGGTCTACATAACAAGTTCCAGGCCAGCTGGAGCTACAGGGAAACCCTGTCTCAAAAAGACCAAAAGGGAAAAAAAAAGAATTCCGAAGCCCAGCCAAAATTCAAGTCTATTAGTATTAGACTTCAAACTAGATAATGGTTTTTTATACCAATTATGGAGTCTTCAAGGACATCTTATGAAGTAGGCAACACTATCTTCACTTATAGATAAGGAAATTGAGAATGGGAAGGGGAATTCCTCAAAATCACTAAAAGTTTAGTTAAGGTAGCACTTAAGCCAAAAAAATACAAAAGTTCTCTCCAAATCTCCCCACCACCCCAGGTTCCAATATGAAGCCCAGGCTGGTCAGGAACTACTAACCTCCAGGGTCCTTTCTGCCTAAGCGCCCCCCACCCAGTAGGTAGGATCAAAGGTACAGCCACTGTACCAGATGTCTTTCCATTCTGATGTAGACGCCTCTTGAAAGTTAGTCAAGACAACAAAGAAAGAGGAATTTAAGAATGGGAAAAATCCAGTTGTAACTAAAGACTGCTTAGATAAATAATGTATATATTTTTCAAGTTAAGAAATTCTAGAAAATTTTGTGTTGTCTTTTTTAAAAAAATGCTTTATTTATTTTTATTTTATGTGTATGAGTGTATTGCCTGCATGTAGGTAGGTGCACCTGTGTCGTGCAGTGCCCTCGGAGGTCAGAAGAGGTCATTGAGTCAGATCCCCTGGAACTGGAATTATGGGCAATTATTAGCTGTCATGTGGGTGCTAGGAGTTAAACCCGGGTCCTCTGCAAGAGCAGCCAGTGCTCTTAACTGCTAAACCATCTTTCCAGCCATTATTTTGTCTTTTGAGACAGTCTAGTCTCACTGTATAGCTCAGGTTGGCCCAGAACTCACTATATATCCCAGACTAGACTCATGACCCTCCTGCAGCAGCCTCTGGAATGAGTGCTGGAATTATAGGCCTGTGCCATCACTCCTAAACTAGCAATGCTTTCATTGTAAGGGCCAAAAAGGGCCAGGGCCAACAAGGTGGTTCAGTGGTAAAAGCACTTGCCATGCCAGCCTAAGGACCTGAGTCCAATCCCCAGAACCCAGGGTGTACATGCATGCCAACACTCACACACATCAGTCACACACACACACACACACACACACACACACACACACACATTTTAAAAATAAGTTACTAGCCAAACTCCATACTACATAATTCTTACCTATGTTTACTGCTACCAATATAACATGCAATTTCTCCCTTTCCACAGCTAAAGCATTCTAAAGTGAAAACACACTGAAAGAAAAGAATATGTTACTCACTCTCTGTGCCCGCTCTGCAATGATAAAGTTCACATAACTGAGGGGCTCACTAGACGAGTCTGGGCTGGTCAGTGCATACATGGTAAATCGGGGAAGCTGTCTTGTCAATTCAAATACGTGGAACTGGGTGCTATGGCCAACCAATAAACAAAAGAGAAGGCTTGGTACAACATTGTTCCCCACCACCACCACCACTCTCTTGAGACTGGGTCTCCTATAGTCCATGCTGGCCTTAAACTCCTGACCCTCTTGCCTCTGCCTCTCAAGTATTAGGATTACATATGTCATCATGCCTGACTCATTACAGTGTTATTTCAAAGTGCAAGGCCCAGAAAATAAAGTCACTTCTGGATTATCACCAACTGATACTTAAGGGTTATGGTTTATACTGAGGAAGGAAAAAAAAGAGGAAAAAAACAACACTTGAGGATTAAAGTACTTGTAGGAATGGACTCTGATTTAGAATAAACATAAATCCATGTATACACATGCACACACCAGGGGTTTAAAGCACCCAAAAGGGGATATAAAAAGGCATTTAGTTTTATTGCTTTGACAGTTTTTTGGTGGGTGGATATTTTTGATGTTTTTGTTTTTGTTTTGAAACAGGGTCTTATTAAGTTCCCCAGAATGGCCTTGAACTCTCTGTAGTCCAGAAATGGCCTGGAACTTGTGATCCTCCTGCTTGAACCTCCTGAGTGCTGGGATTCCAGGCCTGCACCACCATGCCCAACATGAAAAGGCCTTTATCTTTAACAAGTGTAGTGGATCTTCACCACTAGCTTCCCAACTCTTAAGAGTGTTAGCGGACAAAGCTATACTTACATAATAATTATCAGACTTTTCTTACATGTGTGGTGCTGGAGCTCAAAGCTAGGGTCTTGAGCATGCTAAGCAGGAATCCTATCACTGTGCTTCACCAAAAGTCCAACTAAACATTGTTTAGACTTCAAGATCATCTGATTAAAAAATGAAAATAACAAACTTACATACCTCTTTTTTCTTTGGGAACACTGCAAATTAGAGAACTACAAGGTCATAGGAAACCTGGTTGGCCAAAACCTAAAGGGACTCTCTGGTCCACAGAGTGCAATCTTGATAGCAAGCCTACCCATCTTGCCTCTACGGAACGGAACAGGAGAGTTACCTGCTCCTGTAACCCACGAAGGTTTTCAGGTGCAGATCCACAGGGACATCTTTGGGAGGTGTAATTGGGACACGGATGGAGCTGGAGAGATTATGAATGCTGGGGTGGATCACGTGGCTTTCCCCTACAAAAATTCCCTCTGCAAAAATCAATACTGCTCGGATGATGGTGTCTACAAGGAAAAAGAGGAACAGCGTTTCAGGAGCTACCCCAAGGCAGCACAGGCACCGGGAGCACCAGCAGTATACAATGCCTCACCATTGGACGTGGAAATGCGTAATTCCGCATGCGCATCTTGTGTGTCGTTCCCCAGATTGACTGAGAGGGCAGTGTGGAGCTTGGTATTGGCTGGGATTATGCCCCTCTGCCCATCAGCCTCATTCAGGGGACTGCTCAGTTCAGCCTGCAAGACACACTCCCCATGTCAGCTTTATCACTGAGACAGTGCATCAAGGTCCATGTTAAACCACATGGCTATTCAGCTACAAAAGACTCCCTCACCCTTACTAATCTGATCTTTGTATACCCCCGTAAATCCCTTTGTAAACCACCTTGTTAGTGCTCTCTTGCTACCTGGCCCTGTGAGTAATACATGCGTCGTGCTCCATCTGTGGTCCATTGCACCTCATCATGCCCTTTACATTTTTTTTTTTTTTTACATATTCTCTCTCCCTTCTCTCCTTCCCTCTTGCTCCTTCTCTCCACCCCTCCTTCTCTCCTCTCCAGCCCAGGCCCATCTCAAGCTCTCAGCAATCCTACTGCTGCAGCCTCCTGAGTGCTGGGATCACAGGTGTGTGTGACCATGCCCAGCTTTGTGTGCCTTTTCATTCTAGCAATGGCAAAAGGCTGCATACTTCTGCACCTGGGAAAAAGGGCCGGCCCCCAGCCAGCACTGACCCTGACAGTCTCCCACAGTTGCCCACCCTCCTGGTCAGTCTCAGTATTTCAGACTCCACTTCCTCTTCAGCTGAGGCCCTACCTTGGCATTTTCCTCATAGTTGCGGAGTTCCAGCAACAGATTCTGCTTTTTCTGACTCAGCTCCCGGATCAGGTCCTGCTCCACACTGGTGTCCAAGAGGTTCCCCTTCATCTCAGCCGTGCCTGGCAGGTAGCCTCGGACTGAACAGAGGGAGGAAGCCTCAGCAGAGTGAACACCATCCTAAGCATACACTTCTACTTTTAGGCCATCAATTGCATGTTCTTAAAAACCAAAAATCTATAATCTCATCTTCTTGACTTCAGTGAATTTATTATAACTAGAAGATCTTAATAAAATACAGTAGAATTTATTTTCTGCCATTTTGGCCATATCAAACTGAAATTTTTGACTTTTCAAAGATTTTTCTCATCACAACTTACTTTCTCCATCCACAGAGCAGCAGATTAATTGTACATGGCCATCCATCCGATAATCTCCCTGTACCACACCAGCAACTGCAGAAGAGAAGTTGTCTTTAAAGATGACTTCCCCAGTGCGGTCACTTCGAGCATCAACCTAAAAATAAAACAAGAACATCAAAAGGTACTTGTGGGGCTGGAAAGATGGCTCAGTTTGGTTAAGAGCACTGGCTACTCTTGTAGAGGACCAGGGTTTGGTTCCCAGCACCCACATGGCAGCTAACAACAATCCCTAACTGCAGCTCCAGAGGACACTCTCTTCTGGCCTCCACAGGTATTGCACAACACTTGTGCACTTATATACAGTCAGGCAAAACACTCATATACGTAAAAATAAATAAATAAATAAAAAAGAATTTTAAAAAGTAATTTGTGCTGCAGTTGAAAACAATGGCAACATAACAAATATTAAAAATAAAAGCTAGATTTAAAAAGCCTTTTGGGGGACTGGAGAGATAGATCAACAGTTAAGAGCACTGGCTGTTCTTACAGAAGACCCAGGTTCGAATCCCAGCACCCACATGATGACTAACAACCATCTGTAACTTCAGTTCCAGGGGATTCGATGCCCTCTTCTGTCCTCCATGGGCACTGCACAACATGGGTACAGTTACACACATGCAGGCACAACACTCATACACATAAAATAAAAATGGAAAAAAGTTATTTTGTCCAGTCAGGTGTGGTGACACACCTGTAATGTCAGCACTTGGGACATGGAAACAGGAGGATCAAGGTCACCCTCAGTTACAAAGCATGTATGAGGTCAGCCTAGGCTATATAAAATCTTTCTCTCACACACACACAAAGATCATTTAGTTTGCTTTCAAGAGTACACCATATGCAGCTGGAGAGACAGCTCAGTGGCTAAGAGCACTGGTTGCTCTTGCTGAGGACCTGGGTTTGGTTCCCAGTACCCACATGGCAGCTCATAACCATCTGTCACTCCAGTTCCAGGGGATCCAATGCCCTCTTCTGATCTCTGCAGGCATTGCACAACACACAGGTGCACTTGCATACATGCAGGCAATACAGTCATACACATAAAATAAAAATAATAAATAAATAAAAATTTTAAAGTCAGGCATGGTTGTGTATGCCTTTGATTCCAGCACTCAGGAAGCAAAGGCTGGTGGATCTCTGAGAGATCGAGCCCAGCCTGGCCTACATAGCAAGTTCCACACCAACTGTGCTACAGGGAGACCCTGCCTCAAAAAGACCAAAAACAAACAAAAAAAAGAGTACACCATGAAGGCTGTCTTCTCTGCAGAAACCTGACTGCTGGGGCCAGAGGGACCACAAGTGTCCTCTGTCCAGCTGTGCTTTCCTCTTTCTCAACCAAAGCTGCCCTTGCCACAGTATTCTACATGAAGAACTGAGTCAGCTGAGCAGCAGTTCAAACAGCACATGCAGCGTAGTCAAGAGGGGCACAGGCTCCAACGTCCAACTGCCCAGGCCCAGATTCCACCCTGCCGCATACCGTCTATGAATCTTGGGCAAGTTTCTTAACTTTATCCAGGACAAGAGTACAAACAGTGTCTACACCTCATGGGGTATGTTGAGGCCTGAAAGTGTTAACACAGTAAAGTAGTTCAAACATGCACACAGAGGTACGCAATAAATGTTCACTCTAGAAGCCAGGTGTATGCAATCAGCAATCAAGAGGCTATGAGTTTGAGGCCAGCTGGGACTACACAGTGAGTTTTGAGGCAAATCTGGGATATAGAGCAAGACTCTGTCTTAAGTTTTACATAAAAACCACATTTTTAAGGGCCAGTGAGATGGCTCAGTGGGTAAAGGTGTCTGCCACCAAGCCTGAACACCTGAGTTCCCCAGGACCCACACTGGTGGAAGGAGAGAACTAAAACTTCCAAGTTGTCCTCTGATCTCTACATGTGCACCATATCCACACACCTACACACACACATGAATTTTTAAAATTGCATCTTTATGATTCATAAATGTTATATCTACATCTAACATTGAATACCAAATTATCCCAATCTTCTACTACACAGCTTTTTCTAATAACTTTACCATCTTCCACACAAAAACTGTTTAGACTCCTTAGGATACTTCTTCCCATAAACATACACTGTGCACTTGCAAAGCCATTTCAAGAGTAATAATGACGGACACTCACTTGGAATGACTTTGTTCTAGGTAAGGGCATGGGTATTATCAATAAAGACTATCAAGAGAAACTGATAATGCAACCATGTCAATGGCAACACTAGTCACTAGTCAATGTTTTATCTTTTCATAAATGTCCTTCTGGGCAAATATTTACAACCCAAATAAACAGGGTCTTCTCTAGGGTATATCCCACCCAACAGCTCAATCTTGTTATTTATAGCATCATGTACAGCTGGAAACTATGACAACCAAAGCCTAAGAAGACAAGCTGTCTGGCTTTTCCCAGAGTTCTTGGCACATTAGCACTACCATGAAACTTGAGCTGGACTAAACTTGTTTCCCAATGAAAGCCTGGCCAACAGCTCTGTACAGTGTTTCCATAACATTCAGCAAACAGGAGTATTACTTTGCTAAGGACTACAAATTTGTATTTTTATGAACGTTCTGTGCTTTTGTTTATCCAACATGAATATTCTGTCCTAAGGGAGTAGATGGACCTCCACCTCAACAAGTAACATACTAATGACAGTTAATGCTAAGAGAATTTATTTAGCACTTCGACATCAACATTCACAAAATGGATCTGTACATCTTCCTTTTCTGTGTTAGTTCTGTTAAGTATAGATAATTGGTTTTTCCATGATTTTATCTTTTTTATGCTCTAAAACAGATTAGGTAATAGACCTTAAATTTTAAAAATCATTTTATAAACAATCTCTAGGTCCAGAATCATCTGAAGGTAACATTTTCCTTCTGGCTTTTTGAGACAAGGTCTTGTTCTGTACCCCAGATTGGCCTTGAACTCAAGATCCTCCTGCCTCTACCTACTAAGTGCTAGCTCTTAAAAGGCAGTAACTTTGCATTCTTAAATTAATCATAATCACTTATATTCCCCCAGAATATGTATGATCCATTGCTATGAAAATTTGTATGTTGTAACCCTATCTCCAAAGTGACAGTATTAGGAAGTAGAGCCTTTGGAAGATGCCCTCATGTACAGGATTAATGCTCTTATAAGATGTTCCCAGATCCAAGTATGATGGTGCACCCCCAGAATCCCAGCAGTTCAGAGGTGGGTTTGAGGCCAGCTGGGCTACTTAGTTTTCCAAGTCAGCCTTGGCTTCATAGCAAGACCTTATCTCAAAAACAGAAAAATAAAAATGTTTAAACACCCCCTCTACCCTGAGCAATCCCTTGGCTCCTTCCAGCATGTGGGGTCACACCTACCAGGAAGCAGCCCTCCCGACACTAGATCTACTGCATCTTAACATTGGACTTCCCTGTCTCCAAAACTGTGGGAAATAAAGTCCTGGTGCTTACAAGCTACCCAGGCTATGGTATTTTGTTATAACAGCCTGACTGAATAAACATAGTTTATGGACCTTGAGATTTCTTAACAAGCAATGATGACACTGTCCCTCGAATGTTCAATTCCCATGTCAGAGACAAAAGCAGGCAGATGAACAGGAACCAACCAAACAACTTTTTAGATACTGCTCTTTAAATAACACCAAAGGAAGGCAGAGGTGCTGGCAAAGGTAAAGAAAAGACAGGAATTAGCTGTTCCCAGGAGGCAATCCATCACTGACAGGGAAGGGAGTTAGTGCAAATGGTATCCATGGAGATCTGGAAGCTATTTAGCCAGTTTCTAACAAGACAGTCTTTACTTGCCAAAACACCTAGAAATCTGATTTGAAGTTTTGAAAGGAGAAAAAGTAAAAGAATTTTACTTTGCAGTTATAAGTGGGAAAGCAATATCCTGTCACTTCTTCCTGTTAATTCTAAGTTTTCAGTTAGTTTTTTTTTTTTCTGTCTTTCTGAGACAGGGTCTCCTTGTTGCCCTAGCTGTCCTAGAACTCACTATGTAGACCAGGCTGGCCTTGATCCGCCTGCCTCTGCCTCCCAAGTGCTGGGATTAAAGGCGTGCGCCACCACACCCCGCCAATTCTGAGTTTTCAGTTAGTTTTAAAGATTTCTTATGAAAGAGCTATTCACACAGCTCATTAAGTTATTAATTTTTTTCTGCCCTATACCTACAATAAATCTGACTGATAGACTCTCATGCCTTTAAAGAAATGATTTAGAAAGAATCACCCTTAAGATTCTCTCCTAATCAGGGCTTACAAGGTTGAAAGGACATTCACCCTGTAGCAGGAAAAAATTATGTGGGAAAACTGGTTAAATTTGAAAACACAGCCAAGAAACTCAGGCTTATATCATAAAGTCAGTATCATAAACAACAATCACTTTTATTACACATGAATTCTGTTAACTTCAACTTACCTTCCCATTAGACCACCCGGTTATCAGTTCACATACTCCATCAGAATTAATGTCAAATGCATGAATGCTCATGGCATGATTTTTGGACTGAAAAAGAATTCCAATAATTAGTATAGCCATCTCTCAATGTCTGAAGTATAAAGTCCCTGAATAGAAAAGGCTGGATTGTACTAACTTTAATTCTCCAGTACCGGGCTGTTTTGTCATAAACCCCAACGGTGCCATTGGAAAGAGCATAACCAAATCGACTGCCATACATGGGGCATAGAGAGGTGATTATCTGCAAAAAAGAATACAGAAAACACATTTTCTCGTTAAGGCTCAATTTATTGTGAAGTGCAGTCTTAGAGAATTGCATGCTCTGTGTTGAGACTTCAGGCCGACATGAAGTCATTGCTGTCTTGAAATCAGAACCACTCTGAGTATCCACACAAGTCCCTCCCAAGGCTGGGCTACTAGCACTCACTCATGGGAGGTAGGGTAGGGCTACAAAGCTCACAAGGAACACAAGGCACCCCGCCCCCCGCCCTGAGTTTAAGGAACTAACAGTTGCTGGAGTGTTGGGAAGGTGCTTTTTTCAGTGATGTAGCTGCTAGTAAGTTGCCCACGCTCCTGTAGGTAATCCCAATTAAACTCATTGGTTCTCCAAGCTAGACTTGGATGCAACCAATTCCTTTGTTCTGTCAATGCCTTCTTTATCTAGGGTAAACAGAAATCCCTAGAAAAATCACACAATGCTTTGCTACAACTGTATTATAACTAGATTTAAAAGATCTGCAACTGAGCTGGTAGTGTGTTAGAAGTGAGGTATCTTGGTAGCTGTCAGAATGCCCCTTCGTGGGTGAACATCCTTGAAGCTACAGTTAGGCTCGTCTCACTATGGCAGAAGTTAAGGCCTGCACTTGACCAATCACCAGGGCAGTGCAGTAAGGAAGGGTCTGTATCCAAAAAAGATGCCCACTTCATTATGACAGTTACGTCATGGTTCTGAGCACCCCTATCTCTACTCTGCAGGCTTTTTAAGAGGATCACAGAGAGGCTAAGGCAGGAGGGATGCTACAAGTTCTACGTCAGGCAAAAGAAAAAAAAAGGATAATGAAAAGTGATATCCTAAAATGGAGCTCCACGATGAATTGGAAAGGTAAGGACATCATCTTACCTCCATAATATCCTATCTACTCCAAAAATGCTCATAAAAACCTTGTAAATATCAAGGCCAAGGTCTCATGAGTGGCCCTCTTAGGTCAGCCCCTCCAGTCTCTCTCCAGTGTACTATCTCTCTACTTCACATGGCTATCTATATAAAGTGCTTCAACTGTGCCTCACAGCTGAATTCTTTCCTTCACGAAGATAGGAGCCAAGGGAAACGCCAGTCCAGTAACCCTTCCACCCACTACCGGGAATGCATTTCCCTTCTATGATCCATGTCAATTATTTCAGAGTTGGATAATCAGATAAATAAACTCACAAAGTTTGGTGCTTTAGACCAAGCTTATGTGGCAAATGTCAGAATCATATTTAAAAAGTAATAAAACTGTAGAATTGGGAGGGGCTGCTAAGCACACATCTAAAATACACACAACAGATGCAATTACACATATTAATGCAAACGGTTTTAATAATTATTTAGCTATCTTAACTTACATCCTATGTTTAAGTTTCAAGAATTGTAATCTACAATTAATTTTTTTGTTGTTGTTGTTGTTGAACTCAGTATTTTTTTTTTTTTAGAAGAAGCATTTCACTACAGCTTTAACATACTCAATAACAGTTTCCAGAGCAAAGATACCTCTCCTTCAAAAGCAGCTATAAAATTTTTAGGTTCACTGTTGAATTAATACAGTTATACAATATTGAACTCAGTATAAGCCCTGTAAGACATAAAATTGAATGAGTTTTTAACCTTTAAAAAAGATCTCCTTTTTTTTGGTCTTTTTGAGACAGGGTCTCTCTGTAGCCCCAGCTGTCCTGGAACTCAGACCAGGCTGGCCTTGAACTCACAGAGATCCGCCTGCCTCTGCAGTGCTGGGATTAAAGGCGTGCATTACCACGCCCGGCTTCCATTTCATTTTAAAATATACTGTTTCTTACAGAAACACTCAATGTTTTTGCTAATAACACTGAGATGTTGGCACATGCATCTCTAATCTGTACATATCTGATAATTACTAGCCATAATCGGCTGCACTCGGATCCTTGGCACCTGTGTATCGCTATAAAGTCATTGGGTAGATTTCAGCGGTAATGTTTATCACCTCTACTAATTAACATGATGTAAATTTTTATGCTTCCTCCTCAAATATAATTCATTTTTTAAAATTTGTTGATTTTTTTCATGTGTGTATATCACACAGAACATCCCAAACCATCTTATTCAACTGTACACCCACTTCCCATATGGCTTCCTCCCACAGCCTCCCTCCCACAACTAGAGCCCTTATACTCTGTTATCCCTGCTACTGTTCACTGTGATGTTGGCACCCCCAGCCGTTCCTCACTAAAATTAATTTTTTATCCATATACTTTTCTCTCTGTGACATAGTTTGTTTTCTAGAGGTAAAAGTATAATCATTTTAGCCAGGTGTGGTGGCACATGCCTTTAGTCCCAGCACTCGGGAGGTAGAGGCAGGCGGATCTCTGTGAGTTCGAGGTCAGCCTGGTTTACATAGTGAGTTCCAGGCCAGCTGGGGCTACAGGGAAACCCTATCTCAAAAAAGACCAATATATATATATATAT